TGGAGACAGACATAGAGTTGGCTATTTTTTTAAGGCTGCCCCCAGTGTACACACATAATACTTTTCACGGTAATTTTATATTGCACAGAGAAATGTCACATCCAGAGCAGTAGAGACATTGAGCTGGTACTGAACAAACACCCTGATGCAATCCCACGGCAATTACATATGTGCCAATTTGAAAACAAACATCCAAATGATTGTACCCTGCAAAAATTGCAAAGTGAATCATTTCTAAATATAAAGTGTACCTGTCCACTTGATATAGTTATGACAGTTGCTTTGCTGTTTTTTGACAGAAAGTTGGTATTAGCAGCAGTTATCTTTGTGTCATGACCTCATCTACAATGACCTGCCTGACAGTGCATTTGTGTCACTCTATCCCTCAAACAGACAGCCTGGATCTCCACAGTGTAGGTCAGGTTTGTGTGTTCGCGTGTGTGCCTGTAACCTGGCCACCCTCCCTTTGGCTTGCAAACACCTGTTTTGCTCAGTTTGATTATAGGCTCTGCAGAAAGACAGCCACGGCCATTACGGCTAAACTGAAAGGCCTGGATCATGTGATCTCATCAGAGCACTTTGCTCATCCTAGGAGCGCAGGTGTGAGCCTCAAGATTTACCACTACCTCAGCTTAACTGAAACCATAAAACTCAAAAACTGCCTCGATGAAGTCAGACTGATACTATGTCCTCATAAGCGGGGGAACTGTGTGTGTGTGTGTGTGCGTGTACTGTCAATATAGAGTCACCTTCACCACTGCAGCAGTGAGAAATTCCCCCGTGTTAGAACTTCTTAAAGTTGCCTGTTTGTTGCTGGGTCACCACATAGTCTTATGAGCTCACTGAGTGCAGCAGCAGGAACAGTGAGGGTGCAGCATGTCTCTTATGTGCCTGACACATACCCTGTACTTAGTCGAAAAAGACACCCAACACCAGCCATCAATCCAATCTATCTCTCCCTGCCTGCCAATGGCAGCTGGGCCATGATCTCATGGTGACCGTCTGGCCACGCGAGAAGAGGAGCTGGGTAGGGTGAGGGCAAGGGGGATGCTGCCTGCCAGCTCATCGTGTAATCTCATCCTGCTGTGGTTACAGTAAGTGAAATGAAGCAGGAATGGGAAGAGGGAGCCACACTAAGCCATGGAGGTAATTGCTCTGGGAAGGGCAGAGTGTCTCTATTAGGCATTAAACATTTACAGTCACACCATGAGTCTGGGAATATTTCTGTATCCAAATATGGAAACACATACAGTGACATTTCACAAAGTACAAATATAAAAAGACTGCAGTTTTTGTTTTTATTGCACTTGACCAAATCAATAAAATATCAAATCTAAATTTTACTCGTCATAGTCTGCTCTTTCACTGTAATATAGTAATAATATATAATATAGTAATATAGTATATTCAATATCAGTAATGCAAACATCAGCAACTGTATTTTGTAACCTTGCAAATAAACATATATGAACCAATAACCAACTATACTATACGGCATCACATCTTGTGAAAGGTTAGGATGAAGATTTGGGTCATGCAAAGGTTATTTATCCACTTTCTATACCTACTTTTTCCAGGTAGGGTCCCAGGGGGGCTGGAACCTATCCCAGCTTTCACTGAAAGGTGTGTTGCATTCTGAACTGGCCCACACTGTGACCTAAAATGCAGGCAACCTCCCATAGACACACCAAGAGTCCATTTGGATCGTGCAAAAGGCAGTAGGCTACCTCCTTGTTTTTTTAGTAAGACATTAAAGTTCTCTGTTTCCTTGTCTGCCTACTGGCTCCATAAAAGCATATTCCAATCTCAGACACTAAGACTAACCAAGTTAAAATTTCACAAAACTTTTAAATCAGTGCATGATCTTCTTCCATCCCAGAATGACATGGTAAATTAGCCAAAAGGTAGTGCACCTTTTCAGGGCTAGTTCTGGGTTCTTGGAAATACTCTAAGTCAATGTACTCAACTTTTATTTGAGAAGATTGATACTTTTGTATCAACACTTAAGAGAAACTTGAGTATTATTTCAGTTGTGAGCTGCCAAGCCCTTCTCACACCTTGTTTTGCATTTCATTGTCGTGATTAGGCCTCTCAGTGCTGTTCCTTTTTAATGGTTCACTTGTACCTAATAGAGGAGACTCAGTGCTGCATCAGTGTGTGCTTACACATGACATTTGAATTTTGTGGGATCACTAAGTTTTGATCAACAAGAGCGTTCTGCTATGCTGGCTGTACCATACACAGATACCCTGTCATATGACTATGTCCATTGCCTGCTCAAACGTGTGGTAGTTCTGGACTGACTTTGACCACCATGTCAACCTCTCTCTGTTTACACATGACACCAGAGTGCAACAAAGGTGCAATAACTCTGGCGATGTCAAAAAGGGTGAACCAACTTGAGCAAGTCACTGTGCTAATAGAAAAAAAAATGGATGTTGCTTTGATGCCCAAACATAGGTTTCATACACATTCTTGGTGGTTAAACTGGCAAAATATGTTCATTAATTAACCTTGAAAAACATGGTACGTATGATCAAGTTTAGCTATATCCTGGCTATAAAACAAGAGTTCCAGATTTAGTAAGATCAGTTATATGTTGGTTTCCTTGGCATCTCAAATCCTTCTTAGCATATAGGAAAGAATACAGTGAATGGTGAGAAAGTCCTTCATGGAACCAGCGGAACCATTGTATTTAATTTTTACATCCTAGTCCAAACATGTAGAAGCACGAAAACAGATAATGATACACTCTGTGGAAGAGGATCCTCTACTTTTGTCGGTATACAGTTCTCATTCTGAATGAATACAAACTGAATTATTTAAACATTAACTAACTTATTTTGTGACCCATGAAATATATAGCACACCTTTACATGTCCTATTACTGGGAGTTGTTTACAACTCCACAGTGTTCCAAAGTTGGAACACTAATGTTTCTAAGTCCCAGCACACATCTGTCTGGTCTCGTTTCTTCGCTTTCAGTATATCATAGCTCTAAATCTCTGGCTCAGACTTCGTGCAGACAGTCAGCTGCCTCAGCAGTCTGGACTGTTGCTGCAGGCCTTGGCACCACAGCACAGAGAGGGAGAAGATGTCTGCTAACTCCACAACTCCAACATAGAGAATTGGTGATTTCCAACAGTTTTCCAAACAGTTTCCAAACCTATTTCCTTTTTCTTCTGCTTCTTCACTGTGTTGACCTAAATATTCAAGGACATGACATAAAAACCTGCACAATGTTTTTATTTAGTGCATTGCATTGAGTTTCTGATAAAACACAATGTTGGCCCAAAAGATGTAGACAGGCTGTAGACAACAGAAGACTATCCATGTAACTTTGGTGCAAACTAGGTCAGTGGCTAAGCCAACTGCAAACTTAATACTGAATTTTCACCGTGTTACACTTACCCAGTTCTGTGTTTACTTGCGGAACTGACAACAGTTCCATTCTTGATAGAATGGGTCTTATCTGGGGCATTAATATATTGCTTTTTTCCCTCCAAATCAGGTCAAGAGAAAAAGCAGTTGCCACCAGCATGTGATGCACAATACAAAAAAGGCAATTGAACAGTGACCATTCTACATAAATGTTCCCAGAATTTCTAAGGAAACATAGAAAAATGATAATATTCAATTTCTAATCATTGAAATCAAAGTTCATACCGGTCATCACCTGGGGCTTTTCCAGGTTGTTTCTTTTGAAAATATTGGGTTTCAGCTTTTCCTCAAAGACATGTTTCATGTTCAGTCACAGCAGAGATCAGAATGCATCACCATAGATGGCCGGTAAAGACAAAGAATCAAGTCTACACATCAGTGTGCCACTAGACTTTTAAATTCCACCTCCACTTTTAAGAGCATGTGCAATAAAATGATCTAATCTGTCAGCATTTCTGTTATGTTTTTGAGTTTTCCATCCAGGTAAATGCAGCCAATGGAAATTCCCTTTCATTGCTAATCAAGCAGTTGCTTTTTTATGTAATTCTGCCAAAGTGAAGCTTCCTTTGTTCTTAGAACACAGCGTGATTACCCATCATCAGTCTCCGCGGAGAGTAATGTCTTCCTTTGCCTGTGTGTGCTCGTGCACCGCGTGGTTGTGATCTCTTACAGGCAAGTGAGCAGAAACAGGTGTTAGTTCACACTAAGGTGCACCTGCGTGCTCATGCAAGCACACATGCACGGCTTTGACCAGAGGACGGCCGGAGTCTGAAGCGCCTTGCCAAGAAAATGGAGATGAGTTCCCCTGAAGTGTGCGATCTCTTTGATGTGGCCCACCCATTACTGACAGCCTCGGCTCTGAGCCAACCGCAGCACTCACACACTTCCCCTCTACCTGCCACGGATGACCTGCATTCTCTTAAATCACAACTCCAATTCCTGTCCATTTTTCTATGACGTGCACGGGCCTACGCGGATACAGTTTAACTAAGTCTGCTTCATCACATTTTTGTCTTTATTTTATAGAGTTTTGGGGTTTTTTATTAGGAACGCTTAGTATGGAATTTGTAAAACCGAAATATGTGCTGTGTGAGATTATGTAGTTGCACACAGAAAAAAGGTTTTGAGCACTACGAATCTACACAGTCGGTTCTATGTGGTTGTGCTCACTGACTGATAAGGCCCAATAGATTGAGCTGTTGCACAAAAAAATGATCCTTCCCATCCCACCTGAGCTTGACATTAGTAGTATTGCCCTGTGCTGCCCTTTGACTTAGTAAAAATGACATAAAAAGTTTTAACCCTGGTGGGTTTTGTTCTTTGCTTTCTAAGTCGTCCTTATATCTTTGCTTTCCTGCCATCAAAATGTTACCTTTGACTTTTTCTCATGTTGTGTAGTTGCCAATTAGCATCACTTCCTGATTCTTCTGCAATCTGAGATATCTGCCCTTTGCCACATTCTGCTGCCTCTGAGCTCACTTTAAGATAGCATCATGCAATGTGTATGTGAAGGAGGTGTTTGTACTGAGAAATTACATTTCTTAGAAGAGAGGAAGGGGTTGATTTCCAAACGTTTTATTCACAAAATATTTCAAACTGGTACAATTCAAATCAATATTGCATTGTCCCGTCTGTATGTTTCAAAGTGAAAATAATAGTCCATGACATTTGTCACCGCTATTAGTTACAGCTCAAGTCAGGATTCGTAAGCAGAGTGTCCGCTTATCCCAAGAACATCCCGACGGCTGCAACCCAAAGCGCAAAGTCCACTGTAGACACTTTCAGAAGCTCTCTTCTCAACCATCGTCGGACTTGTTCGTCCGTGATGCGATTCAGTCCAGCCTTCGCACTTTCAAGTTCCAAGTCCACTGTGTCTTTGTGCGTGCCTTTGTCTGCCCAACTCCCCGTGTGCTTCTTATCTAGAGCCATCTTGGGGTCAGAACATGCAGCACGGTCCAACTCCTTCTCAGTGTCCATCATGCTTCCTGTCTACTTGACCCAAGCGACACCTGACCTCTGGGCTTCAACCCTCCCGCATGGGTCATCCAGAACCATCGTGCGGACCCACAATGCACTGGGAGGGGTTAGCAAGGAGAGGTTTGGTAGTCGCAGCCTCTTAATCCAGACAAGTGAGGGCGGGAAAAGGCTTGACCTCCAAAGCCGAAAGCTCAGCTCCTCGTCTTACTTTTCATCTTCATGATCATCATGTGAAGTATGATCAGAGGGGGGGGGGGGGACGTCACTTCAGCGCTCTGGGAGCGTGATGGTCGGCACCCAGTCGTACGCACTGCGTCTCTCCTCACAGAACAGGCTCAGTTTGTCTAGAGCAGGGTCTTTCCAGGGGTTTGCGCTGGGGCTCTGAAACACAAACGGGAAAGGGCAATTTAGAGTCGTGCACGAACAAATGCAGGATGTGTAAAAGACTAAGAGGGTGATGCATGCGTGATTCACTGGCTGCCATGCTCTTAAGGGAACTCACCGTGACGAGAATGCAGTGCGCGTCCTTGGGCTCGCCGGTCTCGTCTGCGCCCACGAGAGCGGCCAGGCTCTCGATGTCGTGCACGCGCACCACGTTGATGTCGTTGTCGAAGCAGAACGCCTGGATGAGCGTGAAGTGGATCTGGAGCGCGATGTCGCACTCGTACTCCTCGTCGGTGGCGAGGACGCAGAAAGCCACGCTGTCTGGGTCACTGTGGGAGAAAAATCGAGAGAGGGGATGAGCTCACATCCTCCAAAGGCGTCCGGCCAACACGTTTTCAACCATCAAACGTGAATTAAAAACACGTCACCAAAGTGCGATACTTACACATTCATGACTTTTGCGGACTCGTAGACTCCGACTGTCAGGTAGTCCTGCTTCTTAGCAGCGACCAGCAGCTCCTCCAGGGCTGCGCCTGCACTTTGCACCCTTCACAGAGAAAGAAACACCATCAGGACGCTGTGTTCGTTTGCACAAACAGCAATAAAGCATCAACCCCCAAGTGCGTAAAATGCGCTCGACCGAAGCGTCAGATATTTACCTATCAGTGTTTTCCATTGAGTTGTTTTGTCCACAGATCTCTTCCAGAGTCATAGTTATAATCCAATGCTCGATCGGGACCTCGCAGTGAACAAGAAGCGTCTGAGTGTTCCTCTAGTGTAATCTCCGGTGTTATTCTGAGCTCGGAACAGGCTGTGGGTGGCTTTATAGCCAGCCTGCGTAGTTTCTCGGCAAGGGGCGGTCTTTCCCCCTCACGCTCCCTGCCATTGGCTCGGAGACGCCGGGGCTGAGGAAAGCAAAAGTCCCCCGATGAGTTTTAGCGTGAACTGTTGTGACAACCCCACGTGGGGCGAAATTTCAAGAAAATACCCCCCACCCACCTCCGATTCCTCTCTTGTCTTGTCAACATCCAACATCACCACAGTGTGCAGAAACCCAAAGCCCTGTTTACGGCGGACTTTCACAGCCCAGATGACCGATAGAGAGAGGGGGTGATCAATATGGCCTCCTTTAGCCAATGAACAAACTGTTATTGGTCTCCTAATGTACAGGTTATAAAGGGCAAGAATGTTTCTACATCACAACATAGAGGGCATGCACCTTGTCCTTTAGTTACATTGTGTGGGACACATTGTGTTGATTGTTGTGTTGATGTTATTTACCCTTTTAACCCCGTTGCTTGTGGGTTTTGTCATTGTTTTTGCTTTATTAGATTAGAAATAACAGGGCCCAGAAGCGTGCGTACATACAGAACATTCTACAGATAGGCAGATTAACCCAGAGAAAACTGATGGATCTTTTGTGCAAGGGGAGGGGGGGGTATCAGAATGGAAAAAGAAACCAAGAAACCTCTTCTGCAATTAACACTGCACTTTGTCTTAGGAGCTGTGGAATTTCCCAGCACTGGGAAACGCTGGCAAGTTTTATACGCATGCGAACTTTCCCTGTCCGGGCTTTCGTTTAGCCCTCAATAAACAGCCTGGCGCGTGTACACGCGCGTGCTCTCTCTATCCTGTTACCCAACTCGCCGCTGTGTTTATACTCCGCCGGGCAGTTACGGAACTGTCCCGCCTGGGAAACAAACTGGAAGCCCGTCCTGACCCGAATGAGGGAGAACATTCCCGACGCGTTTTTTTTTTTTTTTTTTTTGCAGGAGGTTGACCAAGGAGCTCGTGACCAGGCACACGCCACCCTTTTTCTTCTCCCCCTTTGTTAGCACATTGAAGAGTAGCTCTTAATTGCAACCCCCCCCCCCCCCCCCCCCTTCCCCGGCGCGTGTCGTCCCTCCACAGACACAAAGGCGACTTCTGCGTCCTCCACCTGCCCCCAGTCCTTCCGTTGCGCACGGGGATGCGAGTGCATGCGTGCATGCGCCCCTTTGTTGTGCCCCACATCTTTACTGCCACACTCTTGTTTAGTAACCCCCGGGCCAGATGCTGAGCCTCCTGAAAAACGACACGTGCCGTGGGGCCGGTGGCCTTTTTGAGAGCATCTTATCAGCGCCATAAGCATCTGTTTACATTCAGCATCATTGGCTTTTCAGGCAGATGCTGTGGGGGTGGTGGGGGGGTGGGGGGGGTGGAGGGGGTGCTCCTGTCCAAACTTGAAAACAGCTGTCCATCACATAATGAGTTTTTATATAATGCAATGCCCGTTTGTGACACAAAGTTAAACTTTGTTTTCCAAAAAATGTCACGCTGACTGATTGTTTTCACCCCTACAACTGAATTATAAGAATGATACGCTGCCTTCACGTTTTTCTTGCAAGACCCGTGAGTCAAATAACGAGCCATGTAGTTTGGCATTTAATGGAATGCAAATGAGCTTGGCTGCGTAATTACTGGGTGACTTTACGCCCGATAAAGGATCCCGGGCCGACAGCTCCACCTGGCGGTCATTCCGAGCATGAACTTTCCCCCACTGAGAGGCGAGTCTCAACATGTTGACCGGGCCCATGACTCAGGATTCTAGCCCCACACTCGTGACTCACCACCCTATGTGCAGTCCCCTCCGCCTCCGAGGATACTGCAAAAAGGTCAGACAAATAGCCATAATGCCCCCACCTCCAGAGAGGGGGAATTAGAAACAAGTGAAAACCAACTTCCCCGCACAAAAAAGAATAACAAAAACAAATGAAAGCCATGCCTTCTTGAACTTTTTTAGGAGGACCCTCAGAGATGGTCACACTGGCATATTTGCACATTCATATTAAACTCGGTGTCTGTGTTTTTACACTTGTTAAATACACAGAACAGGTCTGGGAGCAGGGAGAGGTTTGGCTTTTGGGGAAATCCCAGGCAGACATTGAAAATCCCACTGGGGAGCGGTTTAAATTAGAAACAGCTCTGGGACCGAGCCACACACATGGCTCAGACTGTAATGATGAAAGTTGCGGCAAGCAGATCTGTGGTGCTTTCCTGGTAGGCTTGCAGGTGGTCATTTATCTGCAACAGTAGGAGCAGAATGTTGCTGCACAGCCGGACAATGATTTTACCAGGAATGATCCAACAGCCACCTCAGGCAGCTGCCAGAAAAAGGATCAAAAGCAGATTTTTTTCTTGTTTATACAGTATATAAAAAAGTTTATTATATATATCCAGACATGTCTTATACATAAAGAGATCATATGTACACAAAGAGTAACAATCATTCAATGTATTTACATTTCATTCATGGACGATTTCAGATGCCAGTGCATTTGTTTGACATGATTAACACCTAAAATCTTACTGCCTGTCAATTATCACAAAGTACTTTCATTACAATTTGGATACCATTGATTACTGACAGTAACAAAAGGAATACACAAAAATAATGACAAAATGCTTCACTGACAAAACAGGTCATTACATTTTTGGGTACTCTTTCCTGCAAAACTGTTTGCTGAGCAAAAATACCAAACCCCTCACACTTAGCACGCGGGTACTAAGGTATTTCAAACGCTTAGAAAGGAAAGAACTTTCCCAAGAACAGTTCAAATGTACTTTTCAGAAGTTGGCTGGGTTTTTACTGACATTAATAAATTCAGAGGTGTGGCATGTTGTTCTTTATCTTTACTTTTCTAAATCTTGCTTTACTGTACAACATAAAAACAAAGCATTCCAAAATTAAAATGAGCATGGCTACCCTTGTTACAAGGGAAATACTAACAAATTTTCAAGTCTTCTAAGTGGCCAAATGTCCTGCAATGGCTTAAGCGTTACATACAGTGGTCAAACTACCACTTTGTTCAAGCTTCATGAGCGTCTAACAGCCTACTGTCTACTCTACAACATATATTGCTGACTGGTTTGCAGTGCAAACCACTGGACTACTTGTTTTTCAAGATAATTTGCTATGGCTGTGTCATTTCAGATTTTGGGGAGGGTGTCAAACAACCCCCCACCCCCTAAACCTGGAGATAAATTCAGAATACCATCAACTTGTATTCTTGAGGTACTTCTACCAGTTATAAATGTTCCTGTACTGGCAGAACTTAATTAACTGGTTGCGGTCATCTGGACCGTGTTGTACAACAAGGCAAGAGCCATTAAGGCCACATGAGTGGCATGTGCCCTTTAGCACATGTGCTATATTTGCACCGGCCTGATCAGTGAGTACAGTAGTTTACGCTGCAGAAATGTGTTAAAATAGCTCTCCAGTTCTTTTTTTTTCCCTCTGAAGCATTGGAGTTAGAGCAAAGTGCAAATGAAGTGACTGAACTACATAAGAAGGCTGTTCTTATATAGGAGAAGCAGTGAGAAAAAATGGATCCTATATATGGATGAATAAGGTTATTTTTCCCTTCCTTTTTTTTCCCTCTTAAAAGTTTTAGTTTCCATCTGGTACCATTAGAAATATGGCTCCCTCTACTGGTTGTTGATTATAAAAAAAACCCCACTACATCTCATCAGAGCGGTGCTGCTGTAAAATGACTGATGGAGGGCTTCGGTCTATCCAGGGATCCTTGGATCCTGGGACTTCATATGCCACAGCGGATGCTACTACAGCGTCGATGGATCCTTCCTGGGGCGGGCCCGGCTTCAGCTCTGCTGTCTGGGCAGGAACGGGGAAGTCCGCTGAGGAGTTGCTGTTGACGCCTGTTTCCGAGTCAGGTTGCTCCACTCTCTGGTAATCTGGGGTGTGATTCTTCTGACCGCCCGCAAATATGGCTTTGGTGTTCTCCACGGGTTGGGGCACTAAGACAAACTCCTCCTCCTCCTCCTCGGGCTGAAGGTAAGATATGCCTTCTGTGCTTTCTGGGGGCATTGAGCGCAAGGTCCGGGAGATGACTGCAACAAGGAGCATATTCACAGGTGAGCCCCATCAGTAGACAACAACGGGCACAAAAACTGTCTATTTCCTGGTATGATGAAAACTTACTGGAGGAAGGGGTGTAGAGTTCCTTTTTGTCAGCGTTTCCACCAAACGGATTGACTGTTGGAAAGATGATGAGACAGAAAGACAGCAGGAAAACCTGGAGGCCAAAACCAGAGAGAGAGTGAGGGAAATGTTGCAGGATAGACAGCATGACATTCAGTGTGCACACTGAGAGGAAAGAGAAATCAGCTCATTTAGCCGACAAATTTACCATGACACAAGTGCTGGTTGTGCTGGCCTTCAAAGTCGACATCTTCACAATTGCCTGAAGTTTTCGCAGTTGCTCTATCAGGGAACTATAACAAATAGGAGGAAAAACATTAGTTTTCAAATCAAAATATAAAAACACAAAAACTCACGAACATCTGCAAACAGGTGACGGGATGCAGTGTAACATCATTGAGGTAGAGCAATGCTTCTAAATAAACCTGCTGCTGTATGAAATATGAAAAGGCTTCTTTTAGAGAGTGTAACAGGGATTCATTTTTTTAAACATCGGTTTAAACAAACTTCTTTTGGTGTAAAAATGCCTTCTTACATGTTCTGTTTCTGAAGCATCTGGACTTTCTTCTGTAGTTCCAGGTTGTGTGCAGTGCAGATGGCAACCCTGGAGAAATAATAAACACAACAAATGTGTTTCCTTAGACCCACATCCATCTAACAAGACATATAATTTCAAGACAATCATCACAATTATCAATCAGCTCTTCTTAGAGATATGCTTTCAGTGCTGTGCCTCTTTGACTGGTTAGACATAAATGAATACAACTATTCTTATAATTCAATCATTGTTAAAGGTAGTTGTGCAGCTGAGTGTCGATCTTTGCCAACGACCCAAACGAACACTAGGATCCTCTTATTTGTTCTCCTCTTTTTTCCAGCCTTTTTTGGTAAATGTTATTGAAACTAATTTGTTGCTTATTTGCATAGACTGTCTTACCTGTTTTCAAGTCCATCAACATAGACTTTCTTCTTTTTGCGGCTCTCTTGGGCAGACTGCTTGTTGCGGATTTTCCTCCTGACCCTTTTCAGAGTCCTCTCCTCGGCCTGTTACACAGAGTACAGTAGGCTATACCAGAATGTTGGTGTAACAGAAGTATAAAAACAACCTTGGAAAAAAAAAAACAGAGTTAATTTTAATTGTATTCATTAAATTTTTCTCCACTACTGTTTCATATTTTCACTCCTTTGCAGCCATTGTGGTTTCAGTCCACTGTTGACATTACAGCTCAGCGTTAACAATGTGAAAGCAGACACATTCTAAAGATTACCTTTGTGAGAGGCATCTGAGTAGGAATGGTAGCTCCCTCTTTTGCCAAAAGACGCTTTTCCTCCTCTGTGAGAACGATCTCTTTAAACTGGAACTAGATGGAGCAGGAACAAATAAATATCTGTATCAGAAATGACTTTGACAACATTTCAAAGCCTATTTGAATTGGTTATGGTAGTAAAAAAACCACAAAAAAAAACCAGAACTAACTTGATCAGCTTTGTTTGTCTGTAATGAATCCTGTGTCAAGTCCTCGATTGCCAAAGTACATGGAAGCTCACCAATGATGTCCTCATCCATTGCATCGCTTACAAGATCATCTGTGAAAACCAATAAATAAATAAACTGAGTCAAACAGACTTAATCTAATTTCATGATATGTTTTTTTTTTAAAGATGTGAGTGATTAAGTTCTTTGAAAATACATACCAAGGTCAATGAAAACATCTGTGTCTGGCTTCTCTGCCCGGACGCTCTGCAGCAGGTCCATGTCTGCGGCCCCCCCCTGCAGCAGTGAGTAGCTGTGGTCAGCTCGGACGGTCAAGGCCTCAACGTTCTCCGTCTGTGGCTCTTCAAAGGTCAGAGCTGTGTCGGAGTGCAGGGGGCTGGGCTGAGAATAGCTGGGACTAGGCACCACATCACTGTCGCTGCCTTCAGGACTCGGACATCCTGGGAGATTGCTGTTCCCGGCCCCGGTGCTGCTGTCATCAGAAATGCCACTGTCGCTCCCCGATGGAGACTTAGAGGGACATATTGCTTCCATGTTGTCCTCTCCATCCAACAGGCTGGACAGAAAATCCTCTGTGTCCATACCTGTTAGCATCTGCGGGGAAATTCATAAAAACACGAGAAAAAAACTGACGCACATCAAATTCCACATCTACATTGTGGACTAAAAGAGATTCAACGTGTGCTTCCATTTACAATAATTTTGCACTGAAGATTGTATTTACTCAACAGGCCTTATGAAAATAGATATTACACAGAGGAAAACACAATAGCTACACGTTAAGCCTTTTCTAGCTAAAGAATATGGTTAGATGATGCAACTAAGCAATTTTATTCAAAAATTATATTGTGCAAGTAAGCCTTACATCTTGTTCAGACAGCCAGGATTCAATTAGCCCATTTCCATCAGGGAAGAAGGGCTCAGTGGATCCATCTTCTCCATCCTGGAACAGCAGCCCCAACAGGTCTGCTCCATCCACCTCAGGAAGGTCTTCAGCGACCGACATCTATACCAAACGCCAGATAGACCACAAATCATTCACTTTTCATGTTACGATGATCAAGATCACATTCAAACAACAAAAAAAGGAAGATAGTTGTTGACAGCAATGATGAAAAATAATAATAACCACTTTAATCACAACAGGGCATTAAGGTGGTTCACTAATTTAATAGGTAGAGCTTATCAAAAGGTCTGAACAGACCATTTCCATTGTTATAAAAGCAGGTGCACCCCTGCAATGCTTGTTTTGCATGGGATATCTCCATTCAATTACAGGTTTGATATGATCTTTAAAAAAAAATTAAATCCTTAATATAGTTTCTTACTGGTTTAACGACTGTAAACAGGTGACGGTGGTGGTGCCACGCTAGCACCACGATGCCACGAGACAAAGGATGCTGTGCTAAATGGTCCCTTTCACGAGATACAGCAATGCATGTCTTTGGGTCCACGTGGAGGCTTTAAGGGGCATGTGGAGGCAATTTCGATCTGTGACCGGCAACCATTTAAATGTATGTATATATGTTTTTATAGGATTAAATACCACTAACACTGCTTCCACTACAAGGGCTGATAACACGTACAGTAAACCCGTAAACGCCCACGGCATTGCATCACCACCACAGTCCACGATGACTTCACCCTTCAACGAGCCCCGCCCCCACGCCCTTGTCACGGGTTCAGAATGCAGTATCAAGTGTCAAAACAAATAAAAGGCAAAACCGTGGGAGTAATGAAAGAAATCTCGAATCCTGAACCTTAACAATTAAAAACGTATCTGCAAGACAAATTTAGGGCTAAGACCGCCTTCAAAAATGTGGAGACTGCATTGCAGCGTGGCATTAGATGCAAACGGAATAAAACAGTGAAAACAGAGGGGAAATATGATAGTATGACTTTGATTTTTGCTATTTTCATAAGAGCTACGACGTCGTTGGAGGTAGTTGGGAACGTCTAAAAGGCAAACATCGACGTGTCTGCATTTAGCATTGGTCCCACAATAGTTACATTATTACAATCTGTCGAGGGCGTGGTCCGTCTGTCTTTTCAAATACTGACAAGCATTCCAAAACACTCATGTCTACTGGCTCATTTTCTTACCATTTGATGACAGGAGACTAAATTCCACTGGAGTGAGTATGTCCGCCCTTCAGTTGGTGTCTCTACTTAGCTTCTGTTTTCTGCCACCGTCTACAGTAACAGCGTTTCCTTCCGAAACCACCTTCCAACGAGGCAAAAAATGCGTCATCACGCAAAGGCGGATATGAGTTCAGCACGTAAAGTTCCTTGGTACTTCTGGGAAATGTAGTAAAATTCCTAACCGTGTCAAGGGTCGCGATTGACCTGCTTCCTGGTTTCATGGACATGCAGAAGTCTACCGATCTAAGAATAAAACTGCAATATGCCAATATAATTTATACAGCAAAGTAACTAACTTCAGCTGCTTGTACAATATAAATGTATGCACCCAGTTTTCTTTCGAATTTAGAGTAAAACTAGAGAGTGAGAATTTTATGTAGGGATAAGGGACTGCAAAAAATAAATAAAAATGAAGCCATATCTAAGACATAAAACAAATGCAATTAGCATTATTTCATTCAGTTTATTAGCATAGTCATAGCATCATGACAAAAACCTGACACTTGAAATCCACACAGGATTAATCTGTTTTATGAGGAAATAAAAATAAATTTTACAAAAGGTGAGAGAACAACTCTAGGAGCTGGTGTGTTGATATTCAACTTATAGAAAAAAAACGTTTCAGCTAACATGGAAAACAGGTCAGTGATGTCCAGTCTAAGTGCAGGAACATCTCATAGAGATACATCACATAAGATCTGAAATTCTCCATTTGTATGGTCACACACATTCATTAAACTACTGATTTTTTAAATCACATTAGATAATCTGAGGAATTGCAGACTAACATTAGAGACACCACATTTTATTAACATATGTTGACAATCTCTAACTTTTTTCCTTTTGTTCTGCTACACTGATTATTTCAGGGTTTGTTCTATTACAACACATTTGGCCCACAAGACACACACACACACATAAAAAGCATTGTCCTGAAATAAATCGTGTCATAAGAGAATTCGAGGTTTCTGTAAGAAAAAAAAACAATAATTCACTTGAAGCGGCATTCTCACAGAGACTAATTTTACTTACAAGAAGAGAGAGATACTTGAATAAGATTTCCCAGGTTCCAGGAGCTAAAGGGCTTAATTTCCCATGAGTTATATTTGTTTTACTGGATTCAAAAGCACTTTTTTTTTTTATTTCTACTGAAATTCATGCAAATTCATCCCAAATGATAAAACGTGAATTTTTAATCCGTATCACATTTCTGTCACAGAATCACACAAAGTTTTGATGTGTGCCTTAAGTTTCTGTACACTTTTAATCTTTCCTTCTTACTCGTTGTAGCTGGTCCAACTTTTTGTGTGACTTTTGGAATGGTCTCCACAACCCGCCTCCTGTGAGCTCGATGCAGCAGGATCCTGTAGATGCCAGTGATGGAGCTCCTGCAGTCTTTGCCCTGGTTGTTAAGGATGTGTTCTGAGGTGATTCCAAGACTCTCGAGGGCTCCCTTCACTTCCAATTCCTCCTCCAGGAGTTCAGATGGCTCACTTTCAGCTAGATAAGATGGCTCTAGTTTAAAGGGTTCCATGGCGTGCGGAATGTCCACGGGGAGCAGCCACTCACAGCCCACCATCTGCTCCACCGTACAGCGGTCAGATGGGATGGGCTGGAGGATCCCTCTGATCAGCTTCTGGCACGCCTCGGGCACCCAGGTGGGCAGGACGTAGGCCCCCTCCATGATGCATCTCTTCAGTTTGGCCACAGTGTCTGCCCTAAATGGCATGGTGCCCGTCATCATAAAGAAGAGCATCACCCCCAGGGCCCAGATGTCGACAAAAATTCCAATATAATGCTCGTCCCGAAAGAGCTCTGGTGCGGCATACGGTGGAGAGCCACAGAACGTGTTCAGCGTCTCGTCACGACGGCTCAGAGTGCTAAAGCCAAAGTCGCCCACTTTGACACAAGAGCTGCTGGTGTAGAAGACATTTTCTGCTTTCAGATCACGGTGGATAATGTCATTTTCATGCTGTAAGAGATCAAGACAGAATAGTTTTGCTAGAAGCCTTTACTTGAAAGTCAAAATTTAATCTAAAACCCTAATCTTATAACTAGGGAACAATTTATGAATAGAACAGAGATATGTTACCATACAGGTTAAACAAAGATGCATAGAGGAATTAAGTATTTACAATAATAAGATATTTAAGTTGTTCTTTTCTTATTCTTAATCTGGCTACCAGAAAGTGAAACAAGTGGAAGTTATCATTTTGGAACCGTGCAGACTCATTCAAAAAGTAAAATGTTATGTCTGTTAATCTGATTGCTGTAAATTGCTAATCATCCTAGAAGCCTCACAAACAACATCTATGAAACTCAACATAGTTGAGTCAAAAGTGAGCAACTGACTAGGCTTAAACTAAATTTCAGCTACAGTCCCTGTTGGAAAGTGGTATAGAATCAACTAATGAATAGTAGGGTCAAACTTAAGAAAAATCTTCACAAAAAATAATTTAAAGCTTCATGATTTTGCATGATGCAGTATAAGTGAATGTAATATTTATGTAAACTTTTACAAGAAAATCCACGAACTTGTAATCTAAATTTTGTCTATCTAAAGTCGAAATCAATAAAATCAATTCCATTTTAATATTTTGGACGAATGGCATTGTATATGTTATGATAGCTAAACTAGGACCACATGTCACTTTTCTGTTAGCTTTTCATTTTCATAGTTCATATTATTCCTTACACTGCTATAGAGTGCAACTCAATTCAAAGTAGTATGCGTTCATTATAAGATTTAATCTTTGACTCAATACAGGCTCATTTATAGATACCATGTGTTTCACAGCAGAGAGGATCTGAGCAAAGACGATCTTGCCATCAGTGTCAGATAGCTTTCCTTCTGTAGTGATTTTAGTGTAGAGCTCCCCACCACCTGCGTACTCCATCACCAGATGTAACCGCGTCAAAGTCTCAACCACCTACAGGGGATCAAATCAAAAGGTTAGGTATAAGTTAGACTGGATGTCCACGGACTGTTTAAAGAGAACTGAGGCAAACCTCATAGAGGCGTATAATGTTGGAGTGATGCAGTTTCTCCATGCTGGAGATCTCTCTGGACAGCAGCCTCTGGGTCTTCTGGTCAAGCTTGGTTTTGTCTAAGATCTTAATGGCCACTTTGTCTGAAGACAGCAAAAGAGAAGTATAAGATCGGTATCACTGACATGATAAATGCTATTCAACTTTATGCCCTGAGAAAAGAAAAAATGGAAACATGAGATTTTAGTAAAAAAGATCCCACATAATTTAGAATATTTTGTTTAAAAAGTAACTTTGATATAAATCTTGGTGATGTCACGCCCTCGCAAGTATAAAATTGCCCCTGAAGTGACCAAAAGTGATGCTCCACTAGTTAATTTGATGGAGGGTTACCTCCCTTCAGAATCGCATTTTGTGGATTATGTTATCTCTGGGGCTCAATTTCTACTTTTAGCAATCTCCTTAAAATGAAATAGTCTTTTAGTAAGCAAGTGTGCAGTGATTCCAAGTCTGTAGCGATTAACTAAAGCTGCTGATTACAGATTAGATTACAAACAGAGTACTGAGTAGGTGATTTTTTTCGTGATTGACTCTTATTTAGCACCATATAACTCATGAAGAATATGGTCCAATGTTCATTTTTAACAATGCATCTGCAATTTTACAAAGAAACCTGAAACCTTTCAAACTTTTAAACACATAAAAACTTTGGATGAAGGTCTTCTCATATTGTTCTGACTAAATGATATCACTTGTATGCAAACAAAATGAACTACCGTAATACATAGGCCAAACAAACAGTAAAAAACACACGCAACCCCTAAAACTGCAAAGTATCTCCACACAAACACAGAGCCGAATGCTCAGTTCTCTCAGCCTTTGATGAGGTATGCAGCAATTTTAGCCGTCGCTAAGGAAACTGGAGATCTCTAATCAATCCATCTGCTCAAGGGCAGCAAACAGAGTCTCTCTTTGTGGCTGATTCAGCCCCCGGCCAGGCACACATTGCTTTGTTGGTGAATTGCTAAAGAGCGGCACACTTTTTAGCATCTCAGCCTACTGACGGAAACAGTTTATCAGCCAACTCATCACTTTAATCTAAAACAAAATCGAAGTAAATGTGTGCATGTTTTAAAAGTTAGTCTTTCTCTTCCTTTCAGTATTAGCTCTTAAGTTAAAATGATTTGGTTTTTATTGAAATCTAATCAATTACCTTTATTAATATTACCTTTTTGCACATGTTTATTTGCCCAATGCAGTCAAGGCTACAAAATAATTATGTGGTATGGGTTGATAGCAAGATTTTACCTTTTGTGAGGGCATGAATTCCAAGCTTGACATGGGAGAAATTTCCACATCCAATCTCTCCTCTAATCTTGTAAAAAGCTATTCTTCTGCCTACAGTTAGTTCACGGACCACCCTGTGACAAAATGACATAGCAAGAAATAAGATCTTATTTACTACTGTGAAGCGACCAAAGAAAGAATAGTATCCCCTCTGGTCGAACCACTTAGAATAAATACTTAAATAATTTTCCCCATCATCTGTCAAAAGCTACCTTTCATCCTGGCACATATCCAGGTTAAGCCTTTCCAGGGGAGTAAGGCGTCGAATAGTGGCCCCCTCATCGTCTGTGTTGATGTCAGAACTGTCCTGGCGGCTCCAGCGGCTGTGCCTTTGGCCGCTGGTAACAACGGTGCCTCCGGCAGAACCGCCGACAGAGTCTCTGTTAGACTCCCGGGAATCAGCCCCAGAAACTGAGCTATTCCCAGCAGTGGCTGCTGTCCCAGCCCCGGCCTCAGCCCCCTCTGGTGTGCTTTCAGAGGGCCAGACAGCAGTCATCCTGCGAGGGAAGCCCCGTGGTGGGCAGACTTAGCTCATAACTGAGAGGGATGGATGCACTGTAAGAGAAATCCATTATTTGACAAAGATGTTAAGCCTGGATAAAATAGTTGTAGCATTACATTTTGTAAAATCTCTGGGATAGTTTTTGTAGCCCAATAAAAAAATACATAATTTGATTTAACATGTCATAGTCATGAGACTGTTAAGGCTACTGCAGTGTTCATCATTTTGCAACATGTACACAGCAGCAATGATGTAAAAGTGAGGCACATTGTTCACAAAATTTAACAATAAATGACAAAATATAAACAGGTATCCAAGATATAGCTTGTATCTACCCATGAGACGTAAGAGTGATAAGACAGGTCCAATATAATGGCTGAAATCAAGTTAATCTATAAAAGACTAAAACCTTGACTTACCTTTAGATTTGAAAGGCCTGTACAAGGTAAATCCATCCATATTTGTCCTTGAAGAAATCAATTACATTTAAGCAAATGAGCTGGTAAAAACATGTTAGGAGGGGCTCCTTTCTCTAAACAGTTTAACTGAACAGGGCAGCACGAAGAGTCCAAGTGCATGTTTTATCCAAAATGTCCCAAATGCGATGAAGCTGAAGTTGTTCACGAAGTGGTGCTCATCATTCAATACACCTCATCTGTTTCGGAGACAGAAATGGCTGTTCATAAAAAAAGGGACTAAATCGGAGATCCAAAAAACAATGCTACGTGCGATTCACGCTCACTGTTGTCTGCGGGTGCTATTATCAACTCTGTTGAGTCTCTGAGGTATAAATAGGTCACAGGATGAGGAGGAGGGAGGAGGTTGAAGGAAAGATGTTGAACAGATGATAGTGTCAGGGTGCAGCCATGGGGTGGGGGGGGGTAGGGCGGTCAAGGAAAACAACCTGGAATGAAGCACAAGAGATTAAGTACTGTTATTATGTCTTTTAAAGTTACACTGGGGTCATGATCGTCTATTATTAACAACTTAGTTATTTTTACTTCCATATCAGAACCTTATTTGGTCATTTTGTAGAAATTACGTTCTACATGAAAAAGTATGTGTACAACTACCTAATTCTTATGTAGTTTCTGCTCGAATGTCTTTTGTTTTATTTCGATTAATTCCTTAAAAAGTATTAGACCCGCTAACGGGTTGATGCTGGCTGAGGTTGTCATGAGAGCCAGAGTAAATAAATCAGACTTTTATCTATACCACAAAGAAGACACGACCTGAAAAACCCGCCTGACTAACCATCACCATATCAAATGCAATGTGATGATTGTCACTCCCTCCAGTGTGTTAGGCGTGTGTTTGTGTGTTTCAATGTGACGCGTCTGGTTGTATAAGAGTGTAATTAGGTGACAACTGCATGCTGCAGTGAGAACAGAGCCCTAACAATGTCCCATGATAGCAAAAAGAAAAGGGTGAATCACCTATGAAAATTAACCAGGATTACGTAAAATCTTTTTTAAAAATTTTTTATCTGTGATGGTAACTTATCAGATAAAAATGTCAAATAAAGCATTACATTTTTTTATTTATAAGTAAGTAACATGTGATAAACAAATTCCACATAATAGTTCTGAATGAGCCAAATTTATCTGTGTGAGCTGAATCTCAATATCTGCTTTTCATTCTACATCACGGAACAGTTCGCTTTGACATTGACTTTGAAAATATATTGAAAGAAATATAAAACAAACTAGTCATGAATTGATATAACCAAACCTATTAAATACACAACAATTATCTTGTGTAGTGTAACACAGAGCTGGCCATTTAAGTGTTAACACAAAAAAGTTTTCAGTAGCACCAAAGGATTACAAAAACAGGAAACCAATACAATTTATTATGCATCAGTTGTAATAATTAGCACTTAACTCCAGACACTCCAACACTTGACCTAATTAAACAGTAGCACTCATCCAACATTATTAGACACAATAGTGGAAAATGACAAAGGTCATCATGCCTACTGGTTACAACACCATTGGTAAGATTTAAAAAATATGCTGTGGATAAAGTCTGCTATGTGAAATAACTTTGAAATCAAGATGAAGTCCAAAAAATTAAAAGACGTATATAATAAATGTCCTACTTTGGCACATGTCTGTAAAACTGTAAATGGCTGTAAAAATTACTATAATGACAAGAAAACCTTGAATTAGTTCAGGAGAACAATAAAACAAAAGTTAATGACAAATGATTGCGCTAAGAGGTAAAAATCTATTTCAGTTAAAGGTCACTTAAACAGGATGCACAACAGAGTATAATTCAGTATAAATAGTTCCATCTAAAAAATTGAATTGCATTTGAATATATACATCTTGAAGCCTTGCATGGAAATCAAAGCTATTCTTCTTTGTGGGGCCTCGAGTCTTCCTTCCTTCAAACAACTTCCTGCTCTTTCACCATGAATATTTCTGCATTGATCTCAGCCACCAGAACAGGAGCAGCTACGAGAGGAGAAATGTCTACTTTACAGCACAAAGCAACACGTGCTGCCTTTTATGTGTGTAAATGAAAAAGGGCAAAATGTGATAGATAAATAAATACAGCCATAATAAGACAAGGGAAGTTTAATGGTCTTTCACTGCGGGGAAATAACTACTTACATTTATTATTCATGTTTTACCAAAATATTCAGATTTCTTAATAAAATATTATCATATACATCTATGATTTACTTTTATTTGAGATGATGGTATTGCGATTGTTTTGCCTTTTGTTTCCATTGAATAAAGAAGGGTTATCTGGTTGCTTGGTTATTGCAAGGACCAAGTGTATTTGTTTGTATATCAGGCCGATAATTGTGCATTCCCAAGAACTGGGAGTGAGGGAGGAGGGATCACATTTTAAGTTACATAGATTACGTGCGCAAGTACACTGAAAGCACAAACATAAACTTGGTGTCCCAGAGAAAGGGTTGGAGACCTCGTGAACACACTGTAAAGTGTGTCCGGAATTGAGTTGACTTTTCTTGACTTTCTCTTAGATAAAGACTTTTTTCCCACTACTTGGGGAAAAAGGTGTACCAGTTCTATCTATTATTTTCTGAAATCCAAACGGAGCCAAGTAATTTGTGCTTTGCTTGGGCCTTCTTGCACGGCCCAATGGTTTTTCTGCTACACTCAACTTTTCCATGCAGAAAGTGACATTACAGATCACTTTTAAACAATTAAAATGCATCAACTGAGACAAAAACCACAGTTCTGAATAAAAACAAAACAATCATTTCTTATATATGAGTTATAAAATTAAAAACAAATCTAACTAAAACTGCAAATGCAATTGTCATTGATTCCGAACACACATTAAATCTACAGATAGACAGTCCTTAATCAGCAAGCACAATCAGCTAGGCCAAGCTTGGATCCTGCTTACTCACCATGCCATCAGTCATTTGTGTGAGAATCCCTGAAGACTAAAAGTGGAGTTTGCCTGATGCACTCGGCTGCTGATTGCGCTGCTGGCAAAAGCAGCCTCTTCACACCCTCCTACAACAGGAAACTCAGGAGCCCTTCTCCAGTAGCTGTAGATCAATTATTTGCTCTTGCCACCTGTTGTGCTTCCCTTCACCACAACGCATTTTGTGTGCTTAATCAGACACGGTGAGGGCAGAGAGATGCTGCCCCTCAAGTGATACTGCACACACAGACGGTGAGCTTTCGCCACACAAAGCTCACTAGTATGTCACACCTTAGAAAGATAAAAAAGCTCAACAATGGAAGAACCACAACAATGAAGAGTATGGGTCCTATAGAGAGGCGGGCCCCTCTGGAATCTATGGAGCAAATATTTCACATATGCCCTCCAAAAAAAAAGAGACTAACCTCCAAATCCCTTACCCCCCCCCAAACAAACTGCACAGGACTTGATGGTGGCTTAGAGCTAAAAAACTAAACCCTCTGGGATATAACAGCTGGTTTAAGGAATATTTTGTATAAATCATCTCTAAATACCCTAGCAGGACGATAACTATGAGAACATTTTTCTCAGTCTGCAACATTCAGAAACAACTTTTGTCTTTTACTACATATACAAAGTGAAACTTGACCAAATAATCTACAACTCTCTCTAAGAACACCCACCTCTCTTTAAGAACACCCAAAGGGCACCGGTGTTTGTTCATGGCTTCACTGCTTGTATAAATGACAATATGGAGCACATACTGCCACATAAGTAGCGACATCTCTGTGAGAAGCGCAAAGGCCTGTGTCTCTGAGGCCTCAGCAGGGTCACCATGACACTGTGTACAGGGAGCACAACAACAGGACAATTCTGCACACGCCGCACAGCATACATCTGCTGTTCCAGCCTAAATCTGTGAATTACTTCCAGCTTTAAAGAGCTGTCTGAGTTTGCATGCTATTCCCAATCAACACATCAAAGAGGCTTGCATGAAAGTAAAATCACACAGAACATATTGTTTCATGTTCTCTGACCGATTGATCATCAAAAGAATAAAATTAAGAACTGATTTCACTCAGGTGCACATAAAAAGAACCCCAAAATGATTATTGTGCTTTATAAAATATGGAAATATATTCACCAGTCTTTTATTTAGAGGAATTGTTAAGATTACATTTTTGATGCACATTAAGGGCTACCAGCTTAATTCTTAATACTTTAAAGCTATTTACTTCTTGAAGAGGGTCAACAGTCTTTGTACCAGGTTGCTGTGAACAGACACAAAATGAATTTATTGTAAAATGATTGTGACGTGAAAATCTGGTTGTAATTGATGCAAGTCATCCCTCACAATGCACAAGTACTACATCAGCATGTGCTGGCACAACAAACAGTTCAAGTTTCCGATCATGTAGCATTTTCAAGGGTTGTTTATGTCTTTTAGGGAGGAAATTCTATGCTTTCCTGCCTTTTAATGACAGTGTCAATATCTGGCACAGTCACAGAAAATAAATGCAGCATCAAAGTGCAACAGGTGTTGCAGTGTGATCCATTTAGATTACGTTTACAGTCTGATGTCAGTATGCCTGTTCAGAACTGGAAGTTTATTTAGTCATGATGGCTCTCAAAGTTACCTAGCGCGTGCATGTGCGTCTCACATGCGTGCATACCAACCAACCATTTATATTTCAGGTGGTGCAATAAACGTTGTAACTATAAACTTTGTCAGGATACGATTTAGGAGAACTATCTGCGAAGAAACGAAATTAAGAAAAAAAAAGTTTCTCATTTTCGAATAATTTATTTGCAAGCTCTATCGATTCGCTCTCCCAAAGATACAGACGGGTTGTTCCCCAAAACGAGACGTACCTGTCATAAATTACATCTCACAGATATATATTTGCTGTATTATATATGAATGGCCATATAAAAGCTTAATTTAAATTAAATCCCTCAAAAAGCGCTTCGGTTAAGTACTTAACAGGCAACCGAGGACTGTCAACAGTTAACATCCCCTGCAGCAGGCCATTATCTATGGAAGAAAAGCCATTCTTTAAAATAATACGGCAGAACAATACCGCAGACACGTGACACATGAGAATTAATCTTACTTGGGTGTGTACAGTATCTTCATGGGACCCTGGATAGTATGTTTACCGACCTCGAAGTCGAAGCCATCATCTCTCTCGCCGGGTGACATTGGCCGCCCTAGCTCTGCTGCAGCTGCTCCCCGGTGCCGTCTGCTGTGAAGAGAATCCGGTTAACGAGCGGGAAGACCGACCAATCAACGGCGGCGCGAGGAGGCTCCCGTGCATCTCGCGTCCAATGAGAAGCGAGAATTAGAGCCAATTTATTTCAGTAGCACAAGAGCCGGTCTAATCTGTTTGCTGGAGGGGCGACTCGATAGGTAACCCAACCTGTGTGAGTCACGTACCGTGCTCCCTGTAGGGGTTACCAGGACAGCACAGGTTCAAGGTGGGGTCAAAGGACCAGCTAGGAAAACTGTGGCGGTGTGATATATTATTACAGATATCATATTAGCCAGATTACAGGGCTTTCAGTGATTATATACCATAAATGAGTTATTTAAATTTAAACCAACATTTACTCTTAATAAAAAAAACAACCACCAAAAGGTTGACTTGAAACTACTAGAAGGCTTAAGAGCATCATCATTAATTAACCAATCACATTTAGAACAGATCAATTTCCATTTCTGTTTTCAGTTGTATTGTTTATGGAAAACTGACAATTATCTTCACCTTGCAGATATAATAGAATAGGCAGGCTAGTAGACTTAAAGAATTTCCATAACCAAAAATAAAATAAAACAAAATAAAATATAAAAATGATTATGACATTTCTTAAATAGGGTATTTCAACTCAGTGTGGCAAAGATGTTGGTTGCTTCCCCATAACCTGTCTAAAATTTTAGTAAAAACAAAACAGGAGGGTTATAATTTATGATATAAAGACATTAGGATGCCATCAGGGGATTTTTCACACCTTGGACATTATTTGAACCTAATTTAAGGGATTTTTCACATTTGGGTTTAGTAGATTTCTCAAAACAAATTGTCACAATAAAAATGTATCCCATATAAATATATAACTTGGACCTTGTTATAGAGATGCTAAACCGTTTTTTCCTCAAAAACAGTTTTTATTTCGCCCTACAAAAAAATAAAATAACACCAAAAGACAGCATGAATAAAAATTAACACCAGGAGCAAGAAACAGATGCCAAATGGGCTTCTGACACATTTAGTTCATCAGCGTATTGTCATGGCAGCTGATCAGAACTTCTGGAACAAAATATGCAATGAAAGTGGCACAAAGAAATACATAAGAAGTAATTAATGAACTGAAAATAAAACAAATGAGCATTACAGATATGTTACATTTGTCAATAACTCAGAGTGAGAGCACTGGGATGTTCGAAATTCAACCATCATGCGGACATATTGAGGTGACCTGATGTATACCCACATGCAGGGCTGTGTATGAGAGATAAGACGTCCTCTCTGGGATGATGCAGCTGCCTGGTGCAGGAAGAGAATCTGACAGGTAATTCACAAAGGTCCTCATATTCTCATACAACCCCTGCTTGTTCCGCTTCCTCCACGTTCACCATCTCCCCCTCCAGTTCTACTTCCACCTGAGAGTTCACCACCTGCTGCCCATCGACCTCAGCTGTGGTCACATGAACCACCTGGATCTGCAGTCCCGCCTGTTTTAATCTCTCCACGTCCTCCTCGCACATTTCCCCCACTCCTCCATCCTCCACCACGACAGTTGCCGTCTCCTCCATTGCCATCATGTCTATGGGCTCGACTGTGACGTGTTCTACCTGAATGCCATCTTCCAGCAGGACTGTTTCAGTTCCTTCTAGGCTCTGTGCGGCCAGGGTGAGAGCGGCGGTGCCAGCGGAGTCAGGGATCACCAGTTCCTCAGAAGATTTATCCTCGATTTCATGAACATCTTTGAGGTGGGCCTTCAGCTCCTTGGCATGTGTGAACCACATGTCACACACAGTGCAATGGTTGGGCTTGTCCCCCGTGTGGCTCACAAGATGGTCTTTGAATTGGTCCCAGCTGTTGAATACACTGCTGCACACCTGATGGAGAGGGTTGAGAAAACAATAATAGCCCACAATAACAAAGAAAATTCAGAAGCCCTCCCTTTCTACATCCACATGATGTGAAATGATTCTCCATACCAAATAAAGAGCTGAGGAGATGAAACGCTGATGATGATTACTCTGCGACAGTGAGAGTCTAAAGGAAACCCATCTATTTAATAATGAATCTTTCATGGTACAAAATTGTAAATTTTGCATCCCAACCAATCTGCCTTGAATTTAATGTATTGAAGTCATTCCTCTGGATGTCTTGACCCTGTTTTCCTCTTTACTACCAGCTCAGACCAAGCTCTGGTTAAGCTTTACAAAACTTTTGTTTTCCACAACCAGACAGACTCTGTATGTATGTCATTAGGTCAAAATAAAGGATAGGTTCCATTAGAAAAATTCAAACTTCCTCTGGTGTAACCTTGAATATCTGAACAGTAAAGTGAGACAGTTTATCTTTCAGATATCCGACTCACTGATCGTACAAACTCAGCCTGCATTTACAAACATGACTAAAGCCGGTTTGTGAAGGTTTTTTTTTTTTTAATGACTTGGGTATAAACAGTGCCACCAATGGGGTTCATGACCAGTATTTGAAACAGGATGTAAACACCAGCTGCTAAAGTAAAAACACCTGACAATGTTTAAACAGGCAGTGACAATGTTTAAAGAGGCAGTTAAACATAAAATCTATAATGCAGGAAAGTGCATTTAGAAAGGTTTCTTTTAAATTAAGTGGAAAAAAAACTCATAACTTTTTATTCATTTTTGTATGTTAATACTGAATTGTTAGGGGAGCATTTGAGGCTCTGACTGAACAGACTGTACCTGGCATTCATAGAGTTTCTTGCGTCCTTTCTTGGCCCCAGCCCCATTCTGACAGGCGGCCATATGGCACTTGAGCGTGCTGTTCCTTGCAAATCGTTCATGACAGTCTGGACACTCGTAAGGCTTTTCACCTAACAGCACAAAAAGCCAGACATGGATCAATAAGGATAGACGCTTGGTGTTGTCTTTTTCTTAAAAATAAACCAAGCACCGTTTGTTTTGCTTTTTGAAAAATGATTATTTCCTTACCGGTGTGCTTTCGCAAGTGCTCCTTAAAATGACCAAAGTGGTCAAAGTGCTTCTTACAGTATTCACAAACGTGCACTTTCTTCTGGGGTTTTTGGCTTCGAGACAGTTCCTCTGTATCAAAATGAAAGGTGCCGATGTGCTGCTTCAGGGCACCTTCCCGCGTGTACGCTTTCCCACAATGGCTGCACACATGGGGCTTCTCCAGAGAGCCCAGGTGAGTTTTTAAGTGCTGTTTGAGGTGGTAGTAGAGTTTGAAGCTGCGGTCACACTTGTTGCAGCGGAACATGTTGTCCACTTGGGAGATCTGGACCTCTACGACCTCGACATTCTCCAGGACCTTGGATGCCGTTACCGTTTCCTCCTGATACACAACCTCCTGATGAGAAGAAGCACAAAGACGATTTGGATGCAATCCTTTCATTTTCAGAAGTCTTGAATCACACACACAGGACCAGAAAACAAAAAAGCCAAAAACAGTAGCTGGACCTCCTCTATTGCTTCTGTCTTCATCACCTGTATTGTGGGTTCTCCTTGTTGGTATTTGCTGGTTATGTCAGCGAGAAGAGCCAAAGCGGAGTCGTCTGATGCAGCTTGAGCGGTCTTCGCTGCATCCATCACCTCCTCCAGTCCAGATTCCTCCACCTCAATGGACCCTTCTCCCATCACCTCAATCTCCACCTAAAAGACAAAATCTTTCTTTTCCATTTCTGAACACAAAATGGAGAGGAGGTAAAAGTCTCTACTTTTACCGGTATGAAGATGAAAATTTGCACATCTGAAAAACACACTGACCTGATCCCCTTCTACTGTTGGTATGGTTTCTGTAATCACATTAGACGTCTCAGCAATCTTCCTCTTTTTACCCTGGCTCACCGCAGTGAGGGAAGAACTCTCATTTATACTGCAACAGGGGAAAAGCCATGTTGAAAGGTAAAAATCTTAACACCTTGGATTCCTAATTAAATAAATATGTCTTCCAAGCTCATTATTACTTAAATTGTACATTAATTATCTCCACAAACTTGATTAGCACCAGAAAGACGCATTTCTAATACGAAAAAGAAAAAAACATGAAACAATCATGCAGTGAAATCTTACTTGTTGTTCAGTGCCTTGATGGCCTCCTGCATTTGCAGGTATTCAGCAGCCTTCCACACATCGTAGGCCTCGTCCTCCCCAGTGACGGCCAGCGTCGCAGTGTACGTGAACTCCATCAGCTGGCGAAATGCTGTGTTGCTCACACCTGTTACCGTGTGACAGAGAAGCTGCGGTAAGTAAGCGCAATTCCAATCAACCTCAGACTTTTATGGCAAAATGTGTTTTCCCCACCTTTTAAATAAGATTACTGAAAACGGATAATGATTTTTTACAAAATCCCTGTTAATTTTGCAACACACACGCAAAGACGCAATCTTTTATCCCTTATTTTTTATAAACATTTATGAAACTGCCTGAAACAATTTCATGTTAATTTGGACGTGATTATTTGAACAAAAATAAGACAAGGAGGATCCATCTACAAGAGTGTTGGTTCTAAAAGAATATTTTGGACCAGATTGAAACTGGTCAAGCTGAGACAATCGCAAGTTGGAAAAGACAGCCAGATAGTACAAGTTACATTACAGAAATTATTAACATTATTATTAGGGGAATCCTCCAACTTTTCCATTGTCACTCCAATACCAAGTTTGTCCACTAGAGAGCATTATCCTATTAAACCAAATATAACTTTAACATCCAATCTAGTTTCACTTCTAAATAAGGACTTATTTATGTGTGATCATGTGATTAAACATTTAGTTTCTTGGACGACAGAACAGTAGAGTACCTTCTATCTCCACCAGAGGCTCCTGGGTAAAGTCCTGGAAGAACTTGTGGAAAAACTGACTGCATGCTGCCAAAACAGCTTTATGGGCTCTAAATTGGTGTCCTGTGATAAAAAAAAGAAAGGTAGAAGTAAATGGTATTGTCACCGATGCCATTTTCTAGCTTGGATTCCAAATAACTTATTGATTGGCTTTCTGGAAAAGCTTTTCCCGGGCACCAAGCTCTATTCCCTGCTTCATCTTTCTTGTCTAATTTCGTCTCTAACTAGATGTATATGCAATGTCAACAACAAAAAAGGGGGAAAAGCAGTACACTTGTATTTCCATAGACATTCACTAGTCAAAGTTATTCCAGCGTTACCTTTGCAAATATAATGGCCTGTTAAACTGAATTGGCCATTTGTGTCAAAACAGATAAAGATTATCAATCATTTATGCTGTTCTTACCATCCACAATCAGGGTAATGTCTGTGAACTGGTCCAGCTGTCTCTGCTCATTAAGTTTGTCCATCAGGACTTTGTAGAGCGCTGGATACTCGCTATGGCCATTCACCTCACCCTCCATCGCCACTGTTCATCTGATCCTCTTCTGAAAGAGCATAGCAAGGGATTCAAAGATACAACAAGGACAAAAAACGTAAACAGACAACAACAGCAAAGCCAGAAAAGATATAAAGTGCCACACAAGAATATGTTAGGAACCCCGAGTTAGGACTTATATGATACAAACCTACAATACTTCCCCTCATGATTGTTTAAATGTTACTTTTATACTGTTCAGTAGAAATAGAAATGTTAATACATGACCACATGATTAAACTACTTGTGTTCCTGTACAAATTTCAAACAAACGGACGTTACGTAGCCTTGCCCCTGTGAATCAGACATTCAAATGAACACAAGTAGTTTTATGTGAAGCTCAGTGTTTGCTAGCTCAGCACGATATTAGCTTAACTAGCATAGAGGCACTCTGCATACAACTGAGGGGTAATAAGTCATTGCAATTCATCGGACAGTGCGTTTAACGAATGCCAAACCTACCAACAGCCGATATAGCAGTTAAATAATTTGGATACTGAAATAGCCAGGGAACAGATATCGTACAAGCCCATTCTGCTACAGGTAACGGGCCTCTTAACTTGCTCGCCATTTCGCGTTTGACTATCAACATTACGTCATCAAACCGCGCATTAAAATACACTTTTCACAGACAGATTCTCTGATTTTAATAGCTGTGGGTCGAAATGTGATTTTAAACACATCGACTTACATACCTCAAGCTTGGCTACGACGTTCTGCAAAGGTGTTTTACGATAGTATTTCCCTCGACGCATGAAACGCTGTTCAACTCTCGTTGCTACAGAAAGGGCGGTCGCTCAACCTCCAGGCCTCGGATTCCCAGAAACCCTTGCGAACTGGAGGACGCTCAGAGCTGTTGCTCGGTGACAGCGTAGCGTTTGCGACTACATGTAGATGATGTCTGGCTTGCTCAACCATGCCCAAAAGTTTGCATTATCGATTGACTGAGAAACACAGATGTATACATTATGTAGTTTATGGGTTTATAACAAGTGGAATCCAAGAAACAGTCAAACAACTAACACTTAAAGTATGGAGTTTAGATTTAGAGTGGCAAGACAAGTCTGTATATTGCTGTAAATAGGGATGTTTAACAGAATAATTTCCAAGATTATCCTCACAACCTTACTTTTAAGTCATTCTGAGTTAATGAGTACAAAAGAGGAAAATGACCATGTCATTAACAACATATAGTTTTTATGCTTGATGTTGAATAAACATTTAGTTTAAATATTCCAAGTGTGTTACATAATCGATCCCATCAGCTGCCCTGAATTGAGAAGTGTAAAGGTCAGTGAGCTCTGCGCTCTGGGTCAAAGAATATTTAGCAATATCCTCTGATAGTTTGTGTGCAGTTTATCCACAGTCATTATATTTTAGTCTGCCCTTACTTTTAATGTAAAACTTTATTCTGGGTAGGTCAGTCTGACCTTTTTTGTGGTATCTGCTACATTCTGTAAATAAGTAACATTGGGTCAGAGAGTAATCTGCATGTGGCATGACACTCCAAGTCATAAAAAGGTCATATGGTTTGTCTCTCTCTGTCCGCCTTTATTTTGTTCATTATCGAGTGCTCTTTGGGTGGTTTGTGACTTCTTGTCGTTGTATCTCCGAAGCTAAAACTAGAGCATTATCTAACCATGGAGCTGTAACTTTAGAATCCTTGTTTATTCACGAATCAACGTTAATTAACAACGCCTACTGCTTTCAGGTAGTTTGAGCAAATTATTCTATATTTCTAATTCAATAGAAAAATATTTCAGACACACTGTGTGTAGCTAGAAGACAGAATATGGAACTTTAACTACCGGTAATCTTCTTACTCAGCCAAAATCTGACAGAAACCTAAGTCCATGAACTGTACTGCTCATCAAACAATCTAACTTTGTATTACTGTGCATGTTGAAAGTAATACACAACATTTTTACATTAACCTGTCTTATTATACCTATGCTGACCTTTGACCTTATAGATCTCCTTATAAATCTCCTCATCAATTTCAACTACACTATCTTCATCTGCAGATAACTTATCTTTATTGTAAAATGACACCATTTACAGCTGGTTTACATAACCTAAAACGTCTTTCGCAAAAGGACTGTTCAGTTTTTCTCTGCATTTAAAGCAGGGCCCGACTCCCAATGAATTCTGGGCTGGTTTGGGGCTAAGCTGTGGTGTACATAAGAATTAAATTTATTTCACAACAATTATGCAAAGCAACTGAAATTGTGTTGTAGCATCAACAGTTAACAGATCATGTTTTTTGAAGAATTTTTAGCGTATAATACATGATTTAAGTGATGAAAAACCTCTCTTTGAATTAACAGTTCGTGACTTCTGGCTGCCCTGGATTGTATCAAATGAATGTGTATATAACCCTGTTACTGTTTATCTCCTCAAGCTGTGCCCTTTGAAATGGCTGTTTAAATGTGAATGTTTGTTTGACGTCGTGTTCTCAGGATTGTCAAAGTAATGCTATCATTGCATGTTGAACTGGATCTGTTTTTGTGGATCTTGCAGAAACATGTTGGATCTCTTCCAGGGGCCCGCCTTCTATCCGTTTCATGTCCCCTCCCTTTGCACAAAGCCAGAACCAGAATTGCACAATATTTCTCCTTGTTCTTTGAAATTTATGGAACGGCTTGTACATTGAAAACTTAAATTTCAGATTATTTAGATATTATATAATTGCTTTTGATTTCTCAACAGCCTATTTATTCTTGATTAATGTAGAAGTCGCAGAAGCAGATCTCCTTTCACAGTTCACATGAAGGAATTTTTAAAAATGGCCATTGTCATTATCATGCTTTTGAAGAATCTCTGTGTCCTGTTGACAAGACAGTTTCATGCACTGTGTGTTTTAGCTGTAAGCATTTTAGCTGAAACATGTAAGCATCAGCATACAGAAGTAAGTGAACTTTGTCCTCCTACCAGACAGCAAAACACCTAGCAGAGTATAAAAGGGGGGGCGGTGGAGGAAGAGGCTTGTTTTTGTTCAAGGAGCTAGTCCAAAGCAGAGCTGAACAGGGGGACGGAAAAGTTTTGACTAGAGGGTGAGTTGCAGAATTCTTCTTACCACACAGTTACTCAAATTTAACATGTTGCAGATGTAACAGCTTTAATGATGAATTGTGAAATATGAAGATGCATATCAATCTACATTTGACAAATGAAAATGTTTTTAATGTGCATGCAGTTTATAAGCTTAACTGACTTCAGTAAGCCACTGAAGCATATTTTATATTTTCTTTTTGCTTGCCAAAAGGGGTGGAATAGAAAGATCTCGAAAATAGCTGAGCTAGTTGTATGTTTTTTAAACAAAAAATAAATAAATCAATAGTCTAGATTTTGCAGTGTCAACTGAAATTTTCCACATTAACTATATTTTGTGACATTTCTGCTTGAATACAAACTTAATAGTTTGGTACATGCTCAGGAAGATGTAAAAATGACAACTTTTATGAGTCCTTTTGTGCAACTGTGACCCATTTGTCTGCTGTCCTGTTTCCCCTTTCTGAAAACTCTGTTCCCCTCCCACCGCCCATTGCTCTGTATGCTCTGCAGTTCAGGGGCAGAGGGAGGTGCCTCAGGATGTGGGCGTACCTCAATCTGATCCTCACTCTCTGCCTGCTCCACGGGGGCAGTGCGGAGAGTGAGGGAGGTGGACCCCGATGCCAGCCGTCACCGGCCTGGAAGATCGGGGAGGTGGAACCCATGAAGGGGTCAGTGGGCCAGGTGACGGTAGTGGCCCTTTTAAAGGCAGACTGACTGTTCTGTTTGGTGCAGGCTTCCAGGTACGGAGTGTCATACTTTACCACAATCTTCTGCTCATCACTTTTCATAGCATAAGAAAAAAAAAGAACTCATCCATAAATAAATAAGGGGATAATAAACTTATGCTCTGTGGTGTCCGTTGGCTGAGCAGAATGGACGGCCTGCGCCAGAAGCTGGAGAGTCAGGGTCTGAGGAATGTGGTTTACATGGTCATCAACCACCAGGGGGAGAAAGCACAACGCCTGCATCCACTGCTAATGGAAAGACTTCCAGAAGGCATCACACTCTACAAACAGAACAAGCACGAGCCCGATGTCTGGCAGACACTGAGAGGAGAAAAAGATGACTTTCTCATCTATGACAGGTTTGTCACATCTTTCACATTTTACACAGGACGATAAGTTCATATTTTCTTTTTAACACTAACTTCATCTTACCGCATTTTTCCAACCAATTGCCTTCAGGTGTGGTCGTCTCACGCATCACATTTCACTTCCTTATTCCATCATCGGACATGGTCATATTGAGAGTGCGATCAAAGAGACATACTGCAACCGCACATGTGGAGAGTGCTCACATGAGGTACTGATTTTACAACACTGTTCCAATTAGGTACAAACAAACAAATTGGATGGTATGCCTCAAAATCTTACAGGATAACTTAATTACTTATTCTTTCTCCATTTTCACAGACTGCTGAGACACCAAACGAGTGCAAACAGAAAGCCGATGCACAGCCGGAAGCAGGATTGGATGACACCCAACAATCTCCCAGACACCATGGACATGGTCACCATGGTCATCATGGTGACCATGGTCATCATGGTCACCACGGGGATAACCCTGGAGTCCAACCTCGAGGCTTTGGGGTGGGGCGTGATCACCACCATGGTGATCACCATGGAAACCAAGAAGGTGTAGATCTCGGACAAAGTCAAAATCAGCCAGATTTAAGACCCCAGGGCCCTGATCAGCTTGATGTCGGTTTATCTCAAAGTCAGCATCAATTAATCAATATGCAACAAGCAGCGCGCATAGATCATGTGTCACACGAGGCCCAAGGCGCCGCCGTTAGACCGTGAGTGTCAGAGAAGAGCGGGTGAAAATCAAAGTACAGCTGACAGCAGGCAACGGGCTCTGAGAACGAAGCCTCTCCCAAGGTCAGCTGATGCTGACACTGACGCCGGCTGTTTGGGGACGCAGGGAGCCAGCAGCCGCTCGGCCTCTGACACTGTGGTGAGGCGCTGCCCGCCTCCTGACAGTGACACGGGCTGAACGGCGGCGCGGTCGACAACGTCAGGGAGACCTGACAGTGACGCCTGCCTCCCGCTGCCTGACAGCAGCCTCAGCCGCCCCAATGAGCCTGACCCCCCGGTGTCGTTAGCTGAGGATGAGAGCAGCTGTAAGCTAGCAACACTGGTGTTAGGAATTTGTTTTACCAACAAGTATTACCCTGGGAGAGGAGGATAAGCAAATCCGACAGGAAAATGGAGCAGGTAGAGTCCAAATTACACAAATCAAATTGAATTAGACTTTTTTTTTAAGACACAAAGGGCATATTGGGTAATGCCAGGTTATCATCCCAATGAGGGACTGAGTTTTAAAGAATGTGGCACATCCTACCTGTCTCGATTTTTCTGTTTGTTGGTTGTCCCCTCGTCTCAGGAGTGTATGTGATGGCCATGTTCATAAATTGCCTCCTCAATTATGTTCTCACCATCCTTTATGAAGCCAGATGCAGAAACTATGCTCTAGTGGCGTCTGTCTGATGTCAGGCAGGTGAGAGAGGAGAAGGCAGTTCAGGAACATGACAAACACAGAATATTTCTCTTAGTAAAAAGCAACCAAAAAGAAAACATGAGAAACATTATGAGATAAGTGCTGTTTAGCACATATCATGAATGAGATGGTCATCTGGAAAATGGCAATTCAACTAGTTAAGAGCAACATAAAAAAAAGGAATGAATGAATGAATTGCTGAAGTCACTCAATATCTCTGTGTTTGAAAAATAAGCACAGACTACTAGGGGAACTTTAAAAAACTTTGTATTACTAAGCAGTAAATTGTATTTGTAAGCTGTGCTATTGGACATGTAACAAAGTTACTTCCATGAGTTTCTTTCCTTTAGTTTTTCTCACCAATGCATTACAATCATTACACATCTCTTGTAGGTATCCATCTCTTTCTGCTGAAACACTTTATGTTAGCATTACTTTTCCTAAATATTTTACAAAGACTAGCAAGTACCCAGTAGAACACAAGGCTTCATTTAAAAAAAAGATTTAAAAAAGTTTTGTTATTTGGAAAGAGGCAAAGGATTTTGAAGAGAGAATGAATGAATGACTGTTGGAACAAACTCTGTACTTAATGATGGTTTCAATGGAAAGGTCAAAGGCCCCCTGAAAACCTGATGTTTGCACAGAGCTTTGTATTGTGTTTAGGCTGTTGAAGATGAAATCCATGTGCTGAATAAAGAGGGTTTTAGTTACTCAGTTAGTTTGACTGTGTTTTCTTGCCAAATATCATTCGATAAAATTTCTCTACATTAGAGGATTTTTGGTTTTTTTATTGACTTGTCCTTGCTATTAATTAGTTTTCTTTTGTTTTATTAATCATAAAAAAGCAAGCAAAGTTGCAAAGATTTCTGTGAAAGGTGCTGCTTTTCCCCTGTGTCTCCACAGATGGCAGTGACAGTCCACATGAAAACACAGTGATGGTGTTGTTTGATTATCTGTGTTCATGCAGGCGTCAAAGATGAAAAAAGCACCTCTCCATTAAAGTCATGCCACTAATGTTTAACTAGTCCTGCATCAATGTGTACCATGCCTCTTTTTTCACATTTTTGTCACCTGTTCTCAAATATTATTTAAAAATCCTGTTGGTTTTTCCTGCACATGGAAATCTGAAACCTTTTAAGTATTTTTAGGTGTAGATTCTCATAGACTTGCTCATGGATCTGGAAGTTCCATCTGCCACACAAAAAGATCTCCTCCGTTTTACACCCTCAGAGACCCTTAAGGACAAAACACACAAATACAAACTGACTGTGTATACTCAGAACTTTGCAGACCTCTTTGTAGGAGAGGCCAAAGAATAGCTCCACAATCATGTGGAACAGTTTAGTTTAGGAGAGCCATTTGGGTGCAAAAAGCGTGATCGAATGAGCCATTTACAAGAGACGCATCTCAAATATAGATCATCCAAGCAAACATAACCGTGATGATGTAAATGTACGGAGGTAAACGTTTTCAAGGCTCAAAGTGCAAAACCCTCTGCTCCCTGTTATGCAGCTGAATTGCCTGTTGGACTGTGTGCCCGAAAAGGTCAACAAGCAACCGGAGGTAATAAATGAGAGTGAGGTGGACAGCTTGTATGGGCGTAATTGGGCTGAAGATCCAATACAGGAGAACAGTGACTTATGGGTAATTACCTGCAATGTCCTGAGACAAAGAGCTGTGAGTGGCTGTCTCTCTGATTCAATCAGCCCCACACAGAGCAGCGGAGTACACAGCCTCTGTCTTAATTGTCCAATATGCTTTCCCCTCGATGCACAACTGTTTCCGCAGCCGTTTCCTTCTCTCTACTGACTCCAGCAGCAGCAGCAGAGGGAGTCACACACTTGTGCACTCACTCACACACAAGTTCCTCTGTGCTGCTCATAAACAAGTGTGCATTCTCCACCCTCCAAACACCACTGACGCAGGCATGCAGTTCTTATTTTCTTTCCTTTACAACACTATGAAATGTACATTTACTTAATATGCATGATTATCTGTTGTTTTAGCTGACTTGTGTGCTCTGTGGTGTCTAAGTTCAATAATGACAGGTTTGGCATTGAGTTCAAGGGGTATGCATCCTAAATGGAATAAACTATGAATAATCAGTAAAAAGATCATGATGATCAAGTGAAATCTGATTAGTTTAACTTATGTTTGCATTTCCAACACTTGTTCAAGTTCATGAAAGTAAATAACAGCTATAACTTACAGTGGACAACTTGGAAATGCTGGTATAAGATTACAACCCTGTAACTACTTGCAAAGCAAGTCATGTATGACTGTGAAGATAAAACACAAAAAACATGGAATCAGATGCTGTATTTTATTGTGTAAATTGTTAAAGGTTTCACACATACAACATTATAAATGCTTAGCTGTAAAAGTACTTTAACAAAATATCCAGGATCAACACAGCTTGTGGCCCAAACAAAAAGCAGCAGCCATTAAACAAGAACAGGTGCTCCAAGGAAGGGGGGGCTGAAACCATATTACTTACTGCAGCCACTGTGGACTAACAAACTATGGCATTTTCTCACACTTGAGGCTGAAATACAGATGTTTCCGAATCTGGCATGAGAAATATTTCCAGTTTTATGACAATAGATGACATATGGTGGACAATGTGTTAACACATGGGAAAAAGGAGAAAGTGGAGCCACTGAATGTTATGAAAAAAGACTATATACCGCAATATTTAAGTCAAGAATCAAACAATTTCCATAAAAATCTGAAAACATATGCGGTTCAGTGTTCTTTGTCTGTTGAACATGAACAACCGGCACAAATTCCAGCAAAATTACTTCCAGACTTAAGCAAACGACAAAAGCTACCCTTCTGAAATCAGGCAACAGGAAAAGCCCATCATCATAAAATGCTCTCCCCTGTCAAAATGCACTTCTGATGAGCTATTGAAAAAAAAGAAATTGAAAAGCTAAAATAGCACATTGACAGAGAGAAATAATAACACAGAATTACTATATAACCATTTAATTCCACCTAAAGTTTGATATGACTTCATAAAGGAGATTTCTGGTCTATCAATAAATTCTATAACAAACATTAAATACTCCATAACAATACATCATCTGTGTAAAATACATTCTATAAACAGAAATTCTGTAAAACAAAAATGAAGCTTATTCATGTTGAAAGTTCCTCACTGTCTGATATTTGTGCTGACTTAGAAAATATAATGCTGTCTTTTAGTGACATGGAAATAACACGTAACATGTTTGAGCCAAAGATATAAAATCTAAATAGTGTTTTAAACATTTAATATATACTGTATGTGTACAAAGTGCTTCCCCTAAAGTGTCTTTAATATATGTAAGCTTGAAATAACAATTTTCTGACACAACATCATGAATAAGCACAGTGAACAAGCAGAAGTAAACACCTGACAGTAAGCTCCAAAGGGAAGAAAAGCACCACCCTACACAGCTATCTGACTGTCAATGATACAAACACTGTTTAAAACCTTTTTCTCTGTATTCTGACTGCATTTCATACTCCAGTTACAGATTCACAGTTACTATCGTACAACGGAAAGAGAGGTTTAACCGTGTCTCCTTAAGTCTCTCTTGTTCCTTCACGAAGGCAACAGCCTTCTGGGATCTTTGGATGAGTGTGAGCATAGTCACAGACTTTGAGGCACCTCTGTCATTTTGTCATGCTACTTTTAAAGTCAACAAACCACATCTTCCCATTTTCCTTTAGAATATTTTGAGACACTCAGTCTCAACCTCATACAATGTAAAGATTGCTGCACTCTTCTCTAAACCTTCTCCACTAAGGTGAGGCTGAATTTAGAAGAAAAACTTGTACCAAGCAGCAATACAACGTAACAAGTAACATTAATGACTCAAAAATTATATACTTGCAACTTTACAACAATAATGAATATATTAAGACATTTCTGCAACAGCATTAACTTGCTGGCATCATCCGCACATGGCAGCAGCAGCAGAGATTGTTTTACAGAGAGGCAGAGAGAAAAAATGGCACATATTTATCAGATTCACATTTTAACACTGTTGTGTCATGGCTCTTGCTTTGACTCTCTTTCTTATGGGATTGTCTCATACTAAAGACCTGTTCTATCCAAGACATGGGCCCATTCATTTCAAGAAAGAATCCGAAACAGCATAACTGATAGAATGGATGTGTTTCTTTTGAGCCATTTAGTATGTCTTGATCACCGCGAGAGGATTCTTCCATACTTTGCATCAACAATGGCTCTGATTCAGCTGTGGACTTGATATGACAATTCAGTGTGCTTCATTATGAAAACACGCATATGCTGTGAGACAAATTCAACTGGTTCAGACAGCTTATTAGCAAAAATTTGGGTCTATGAGAGTCATAATGTCAGGCCGAAAACCTTGGAGGAGCTCTCATTTGCTGTCCTCTCATTCATCTCTGTGTAAACTTTATTGATTACTTTTGCTTTAAAGTGTTTTATCAAGACCTAATTTTTGTCTCACAAGATTTGGGTCTATGATACGTAACTGTTTTTCATACGTGGTGTAAGTATAAGCATGCATGTTTCTTTATTTGCACATGTGCAGAGTATCTATGTAGGATGTATGTCAGTCCCTCTATACATAGCAATACTTTTCTGTACACAACAATGCATAAATGCACCTATCCAAATCACAAAAGCAAAGAATTTTGACACTGAAATGGCAAGCCAATACCACTATGATGGGCACAGGTTCTTATGTGTGGTAGATACTGAGTATAGTTTTGGCTAAATACATGTATAATATAAACAATTTCACAGTCTTTCAGCTATCCAGTTGGTCTCCCTGCATTAACAACACATGTTGGGAGGCTTAAAACTCCCTAACAGAGAACATGACCAGTAAAGTTTCAGTTAAACTATTTTGACCGGGTTACCAGTTATTACCCCATTTCTATTTTCTTAATAGTTGAATCAGAGTGCTCTTGAGCAAGGCACTTAGTGGTGCTACATAGTTCACTGCACGAGTTTGCAGAGTGGCTTCAAGCGGTGGGCGAATCCTTTCCTGCATCAGAACAGTTTCACTTCAGTCACATTAATGATGAAGGTTCTTTTGTTGGTGTGAAAATAAAATAATGAATGTCAGCATTATAAATGCACTCATTTTAGGATATACTTAACCAAGTGTTTTAATTTCCATTTCTATCTGACTTTTTCACTTTTGTAACAATAGAGGATTTCCTCAATTTTCCAGAGTGCCTTTCAGTATGCCCTCATGAGGAAATGAGATCTTAAATATAATGTTTTAAGAGACTTGTTTTGCTTTGGATTGTATTAATTTGCTGCACTGACAACTCACATCTGAAAGAGTGTACTTTATACATTTGATTTTCAGATTTGATATAATTGATTCCATCACACGTGCAGCTAGCATAAAGCCAGGTATGCAAATCTGCATAGCTGTGTTCAACAGTGTCGGGTTTAATTGTATAAAAATATATCTCTTGTGAGGTACTAATAAGATGACACGAAGAAACAGGAAACATTTAAACGTAAGTGGCAATGCATGTTACCACCAATGTAGGATGGCTCTCTGTGTGGTGATGAATAAGATGTGCTCTTCTTCTTGACATCAATACTCACTGAAATCACTATTTTAAGTTTAAGACGTGAATAATGTAATCGCGCTACACACAATTAACCACAGGTGTAATGCGATTTAAGGCAGTTCAAAACGTTTTTTTGATTCACAACGATCATGCATGGATGCATGCTCATTGTGCATTTGGTATGTAATTTAGCTTTTTTGCTTTTACTGCATTTTTCAACACATACAAGAGTTTCAAATATAGTGTGCAGCTGTGTCTCTGGGTATCCGGAGAAAAAGCCTGTGATCATCAAGCTGCAAGTTCCAGCTGTTGGAGCTGGATAGCACGGCTTTAAGAGACCTCTTGGCAAACAATTCCTACGCATTCGGAGAATTTCCGACTGCACTGTCCTTTCAGGGTGAGAGGTTCCCCAGCAGATCTGGGGTAATGTACCCTACAGGCATTGGGGCTTTGGAGGGGGGCTGCGGCGGACATGGAGGAGGTGACTGGCGGGGCGGTGGGTTGAGGAGCAGACTATGATGAGTGTCCAAATCTTGTACCACTGTGTAGTCTGCAACGGGGGCAAAGAACTGTGATTGGGGAGAGTCGGGAAGAATGTAAGGCGACTGATCAGTTTCTGCTGGGACTTCCGGTTTGGTCTCTACTGGCTGAGGTTGTATGGTTTGATACCCTTCTCCAGGTATGGGAGAGCAAGGAGGAGAACTGATCTGCCGGGCGTTGATCTCCGTCGTGTAGCCTCCCACTTCTGGATCCATTTCCAGTAGCTCACACTGAGGCTCTTTTTCCATCTTCTCTCCTGCATCCTCACTGTCACAACTTTGCTTTCCCTTCTTTTGCGTTTCCTTCTCTGAGGGTGAAGTGTTCTCCTGGATTCTGTGTTGCTGGCCAGGAGAAAGCACCACCCCCCCAGAGGGCATAACATTGCTGACCTGGGCATAGAAGTCCGTGTTGATCCAGGTTTGGGGTGTTCCAGTTTGGGACTGGAGAACAGATCTTTCTTGGCCCTCTAAGGCCGGGGCTCTTTCTGTAAAGCCCAAAGAGGCCTCCTCATCCTCGGGTTGGCCCGGCAGAAGAGTGGCCATCAGCATCTGGGTATCCTGTTCAGACAGATCTGCGTCGTAGCAGCTGGCTCGCCCTGAGTCATCGTCAGGTTGGCTAGAGGAGAAAGTGAGAAGAAAAGGAAGGAATTAAAATTTGGTCATTTCGAATGCATTTACAAAGAAAATCTTTTCCTCACCTGATTGTGTTGGAACATGCAATATTTCTATGGCTGCTCCCAGGTTGGGGAAGACCCAGCAGCCTTTGGGTATCTGATGCCTGGTTGTCCTCCTTCTCTTCACCGTCCGAATCGTCCTCATCAACCTCGATGAACTCCACCCATGGCTCGTCTTGGCTGAAGTCTGGTGCATACGTTGGTAGGCCACCTTTGCCTCCCCCGTTCAGCATAAAATTCAGCTCCTCAAGTTTCCCCTTCTGCATGGATACAAAATATGGAATGAATCTGACCTGATCATCAGAACGTGGTTACATATATTTGCTGACCAGTTAATATTAATATACCCAACACTGTGTTCCAGCTATATAATAAATAGCCATATAACTGTTTAATCTGTATAGGGGTTGCTTTAAGGCTTTTTACACGCCACTTCATCACACATATACATGATACTGTTTCACTGAGACCCTTTTCACATATGCGTGTTTTCCTGCAGCACACTTTGTTTCCCTTCTGCTTTCTTTTACTGGTAGTGATTGGGAGAGAGATGGGGGGGGTTATGATTATGTGACCTAATACTCCTGAACAAAATGAGTCACATGTACTATATAGTGTGTTTTTGATCAGAATGAAAATGATAAAAAAAGGGAGAAAACAGGTTACGCAACCTTTTATGTAATCACTTTACTGAAAAGCAAAGCACAAAAGCAGTTGAGAACTATTACGCTCACAATTTCCCCAACAACAGTTTTTAATGAGAATGTATCAAACAATGTATAACCTTTAAAAGAGTTAATAAAGAACATTGCGAAGTTTGTCAAATAATGCTTAAAAACAAAAGTCTCTCTCCGCTCTTCAGACGACAAATCATATCAAAAGGAACATTTCAAAATGTAAAAAGTGAAATAAATAAGCAGTACATTTCAGGATCTCATATATGTTCTGTGATGAGGTCCTAAAACTGTGTCTATACAGTTGATGTACTGTGAGTTTAGAGTAAATGTTCAGTAAAATTACCGACATGACAGAAAAAGATGTACCTTTAACAGCTCTGAGTCGATGCCTTTAATTTTGGGTGTTGGAACTGGTGGCAAAAGAACCATCATCAACCTGCAAAGGGAGGAAAGGGAGATGCGTTACTGTGTGCATGGTTGTCAGTTTCAACCTTTAAAATGCAGTGCCACGCAAAAGTATGGAAACCCCTTTTTAACTAATAATTATACAATTAAAAATAGAGACAGAGTAAAATATGACCTTATTTCCCAAAAGCATAAATTGAAGATGATACAAATGATCTGACATAACAAAGTTGGGCTGCCTTAAGAAAATTAATTATATTTAGTTTCACGCTTTATAACTGCTTGTTGCCACCAGCAAGGAGTTGATTTTACTTTAGGGATCCATCTCTGACAGCTTCAAATCATTTACTTTAATAAACTACTCCTTGAACATTTGTCCACAGATTTGGAAACTGTCAATGTCCTACTTACTCAAACTGGTATGTGTTCAAACTTCTCAGTGGTGATGCACATTTGTCTATTACACTATAATTAGCTCTGGTTTGACTTCAGACAATTTTGAATGTGAGTTTAACTGTGACCAAGGCTTGTTTCCAAGATGCTTGTTTTGTTTAGGTGTTCATTTACAAATGTCTGATGCTAATTTTAGTGGTGAGGATACGGTCCGGAGTCTTAGACCAATGGCTCTTACATAAAGGTGATATTTGCACAAGTGCTTCCCCAGAATTTTAAACATTTTCCTGAAGGCATTTAGAAGTCAAGTGGGGGTTTGGAATTCCTGCTCTACTAATGTTATAAACATTCCCCTCTGAAAGTTTACCCCCAAAACAAACCCTTACAGAATCCCAGCCTAAGTAAGTGGCAGCTAAAACAGACTTTGCTTCTGTGTTATAGCCTTCTCCTCTTTCGTTACCATAAGAAAATGATTTTCAGACTACAGGCAGATGATTAGAGGAGCCTATGGTAAGCCTTTGTTACAGTTTGAGAGATGAAAGTAGTTTTAAAGTTTTGAGATCTGAAGTTCTTAAAATCCCTTTGCTAAAAATCTTGCAGAGTTTCCTTTCTTGCAGGGTTCCTTACTCATTTACTAACTTTTTAAAACTTTTGCATACTACTGATTGGTGCATAATTTCTACATTTTGAACACCTCCACCTAAGTGTGGAGAAAAAGGTCTCTACCTGTGCTGCTGAGCGATGACTATCAGCATGATGAGGATGAGGATGCCCACAATGCCAAAGATGAGAACCAGGGTAAATGGGAGAGAGGATTCTAAGCAGCATAGAAAAAACAGAAGCTATTGTCATGACAGATCACAGAGTTTTTGTTTCTCAAAAAGAAAAGCCTAAACTCTTTTGTACCTTTGGTAGGAATCTCTGTCAGTTGAATGAAGATGGAGTCACTGAATACACCAAACTTGATAAAGCCTTGCATCCTGCAGTGGATGTGCACTTCATACTGTTTTCCTATGTGCAGGCCGTAGATCGTCTGCTGGGTGTGTGGCTGCATCTCCAGCTGAAAATGGCAGATGCATGAAATATATACATACCATTAAAACAGAAAGAACGCAATGTTTGTGTTATAACTGATATTGCTCTGACGGGAAAAACCAAAAAAACATCCACTGAAGCTGAGAACAGCTAAATGCTGTTTCAAGGCGTTCCCGTTTATTTTTGGTTCCCGTAACCATGACCTTTCCAAAGGTACATCTGTTGAGGCATTCACATATTGTGGATAGAAGACATGCTGTGACAATGCAGGGAGCAAAACAGTATACAGGGCTGCATTGTCAAACTGGCAAGCCTCTAAGAAATGAATACGAGTCTGTGTAGGGTCCCATAGCCTCTGACCTACAGAACAACCCCCCCCCCTACTTCCTTCAGAGGGACTCTGTTTTTTCAGAGGGCCTTGCTCCGGCTTCCACTGCCTTGCCAACAAGGCTACATTGCAGTTCAGCCACAAGAGTTCAGGGGGAGGGGAAAGGAAAGCCGATACATTTTCAGTATGCACTACTCGCAATTTAAGAGGATGCACGACTGCTTAAGTTTATCTAAGTTTATGCATGTACAAAGAAGCATTTTGCGCAGTTTAAAAGCAAAATATAGCTACCATCAGCAAAAATAAGCAAGTCTACTTTTTCTGAAAGAAAGACGTTGAAGGGAGAACTCACTGCCTCCCAGTTTGTGGCATTTTTCTCTCTGTACTGGATTTCATACTCGATGCGCATCCAGCCCACCCCGACGTCTGCGGAGGGAGGGGGCTCCCAGCTGACCATCACATCGTAGCTTAGTCCTGAGGGGCTTACATTCAGCACGGTCCAGTTTAGGGACACGGGTGGGTCAGGACGTACTATGAAGAAAAAGGCAAAAGTTCAACCTTGAGCAAAATGAACAAACAGAACTATTTGTACCCTTTCACTTAGTAAATTCAACTCTAAGAACTCCGGATTGAAACTGACTCGACATGATAGAAAATATGGATTTTTATATTCTTTGTTTACAACGCATGTTTAAAATTATTAACGAAGTGAATATGTAAAAGTGGTAAATGCATTATAAAACATTCATTAAGTGTTTGGTCCAGTGGTGGCACAAAACAAAAACCCAAATTAAGCTATCAAAAACACTTAGGCTAGGAAAAAGACTGTCAGACATCAGCAAAGCATGTTAACAATCTGATCTTATAACTCTTTTTGCCCTGAAAAAAAGCACAAGCACTGTTTAAAAACATGATAATGAAGTGCAGAGACACACACGAATCTCACACTAACCTATATTTTCTACAGTGAAACAGTCGTCTTCGTTAAAATACGTTGTGTTGTTTTGGCTACGGAGCTGAACGCAGTAGGGGATCCAAATGGCTGTGTGGTTTGCGTCAAAGAAGCATTCCCTGTTTGAATGGATGTACTCCGGACACTCCTTCCACTCGCTGGCTGGAGAGCTGAAGGAAAAAGACAAACCTAATTGAAAAACAAAGGTCTTCTTTTGGGTTAAGGAATATGTGCTAAACGAAGAAATGAAATTACACTCTGTCTTTCTTAAGGTAGAAGACTTTGACAGCTCCAGGGGCGGACAGGTTGTGGAAGGCGCCTGGACTCCACCAACAGCTGAACGTTACCTGGTCCCTTGATACACATTCTGTGAAGTGAGGTTCATGGGGAGCTGAAAGAGAGACAGTAGGATGGCGAGAAGTTAAAAGATCGGGAATTCAACATTCATATGTCAGGCAGCATCAATCATCTTTAGTGACATCTGTCAATCCCTGTAAAGTATTAGATGATTTAGTGTTGTGATTATATTTTCCAAATATTTTACAGTGAGTGAGAAAAGAGTGAGTGAGAAAATGCTGGATACTACTGAAGATTATAAAGACTGCAAATGGAAAAATATTGTATAGGTTAAAAAAGCAGCAACACGAAGAATACACACTTATACACTTAACATTACATACAGTAAAAAATTAATAAAAGCGTAATTTGTTTAGTGATTTTCTAAATAAAAATGTGTACAGTATTGTACAAGGACAAGGAGAAATCAGTTCAAAGGCCTATTCACAAGACTACAACAATAAAAAATGTCTGAGAAATAGATAAGACATTGTGAAAAAGTTTTATAAAGATGAAAGTTAAAAGAGAAGTTTGAATTCTAATACACTGAAAAAGTTTAGCACACTTGAGTTCAGTAAGCACAAAGTTCCACAGCCTCCCTAATGGACATGACCCGATGAACATTTATCAAACTCTGTATGGGAATACTTAGTTTGGCCTTATCTCAGGATCTTAGTGGTTAGGAGGGATCATACCAGGTCACTCAGTCTGTGACGTATTTGGGGCAGGGCCATGTAAGGCTTTAAGGTAACAGAGGGTCCTTAGAGAGACATAGGCATGCAAATTTAAAGAAAGTCAAAAACGCTCAGAAGCATGCAAAATGTTTACAACTCAACAGAAGAACATTTCCCTTCATTTTCACATAATTTTGAACTATCAAGAAAAAACAGACACATTTGTCATTACCATCAAAGCTGTGGTAAGAATGACAAATCTCTCATAGTCTTGGTGATATTAGACAATGAAAATCATCAATGATTTTGAATATGGTGTTCCAAACAGAATTGTGAGCTTTCTTTCTTTATTTTTTTAAAAGTCTAATATGTGTCATGTTCTTGAAAAGGTTTCTTTCTGGTGGATAAGTGGGAGAGTAATAAACTCAGAGCTGAGTCTTTTTTACTTTCAGCCAAGGATGTAGAACAATGCAGGAACATTCTGTGATTGACAGTAATAAAAGCATTTCTAAAAGACCCCAAATCAAGCAATCACCTCAATTTTCTCTCTGCAGGTCTTTAAATATTTTGCACTTTTGATTTAGTAAATTGCTCATTAACCTGAAAGATGTTAAAAACCTGCGTTGAAAATCAAAAAGGACAGGAGTACAAAGACCACTTCATCTAGAGAACCTGCGATAAAACAGGAGTCCACAGTTATTTGACAAAAAGATTGCATCACGTATTCACAGTGATGGCTGTAATGCCCATCTGTGTATGATAAATGATAAAGGCCTAGACATAGGCAGTATGTATAAGACTTACTGGCAGATGATAAGACTATCTAGGGCCTATTCAAATTTGTGAACTGTGAATTTTTGTGCAAGCACAGAATGAGAAGGAGAACAATTCGCAGATAGAGGGGTTGCCTCACATTTCAGTTACCAACCTTAAGATCTATCAACACAGGCCCCGAGGTGCTGACTCAGCCCCTTCTATCTTTCCTTTGGCACTCCCTGGTTCCCCATCAACTATCACCAGCCCCCGCCGCACCACTGTCAGAGGCCAGTTCCACAGGCCAGTTTAGTGCCGCCATAAATGATCAGATGAAGGTGTCATTGATTTCTGCCCTTCCCACATCCCCCCTTCTCTTTCTTTTCACTGTATTCTAAATCACACACACACAGCTCCAGATCATAAGTGAGAAGTATAAAGACAGAGTAGAAATCTCAATGTCAATAAAAAAAACTAAAAGCATACTACAGATACACGCCTGTATAGTACGTAACCACACATTTCAATACACCACCACAAAGCCAAACTTCTCTCCCGACCGAGGCAGTCCCACTGCACACACAGATTTATGCCCACAGAATGTACGCCATCACTTCGATTACTTTTCTTCCCCTCAATTTAATGCCGGTGTACGCTCATAATTCAGCGCATTCCTACACAGTTGAGCTTTTCCAGCTTCCCTCCCTCCATCCTTTGCACACTGTCATGGTTTCCAAAGACTTGCTTTTTCAATCAGCCCCTCCTCCATTCTACAAATTCCAGCTGCCACCATCAAAGAACTTTTTGCAGGTCAAGGAGGACTTAGAGCTTAAATAAGACAGGTCACATGGAAGAAAACTAAAATAAATCCTTTTGAATTACACAAGTTGAGGTCCAGAAAACAATACAAAACAATTCTATAAAAGGAATGCTGAGACGTATGACTGACATCCTTATTTTTGCGCCACTACCATTATGAACATGTGAATGGTAACACAAGCTTTTTCTGTTATTGAATTGTGTGGAGAAGTCTTTGAGGCGAACGGATGCGGACTGTTTTAAAACGGCTTAGGGTGAAAAGGTGCAGCCTTTTTTAAAAAAAAAACCTGTTTCCATTTATCAGTTCAGCTGAATGCTAAAATTTAAAGTATGTCAGAGGTCAAAGGTCATGCAGCAACACCTGGAAAGACTTGTCTTTTGGATATTCCAGTGCCTCTCTTTCTGAACTCACAAGTAACTCTTCTGTGTATAGCCAAGTAAATATAGAAAAGCATTTTTTCTCATGGAGTAAAACAGTTTCAGTTATTGTTCAATGTGAAATTAGCCAACCAGGCATACAAAAGGTGCAAATGGTTTTTAACTTCGATTCTTTTCTGCTTGTTTGGTTTTGGAAAGGCTATATTTACTTTGTCCATTTTTGTTACTGTTTCAACGACCGAAAACTAAGACCGGTTAGTACCTGCCAGTGGCCGTTGAATTATCTGCAGCAGAAAGCCTTCAGCTGGAGAAAAAAAACTGACATGCACACATAAACTGCTTAGTGTGTGTACCTGAGTGTGTTTGCATGTGTGTGTGCACTGTCTACATGTATCAAGCTGTGGGCTTTGTGTGCAGCTCAGACCCACACACACCTCTTAGACATACATCCTGCCTTCAGCAGGCAATGCAGAGCAGCTAGGAAACCATCGTCCAACATCGTTTCCAGTTAAAATTCACAAAAAAGGCTAAATATAGTGCTCAGCCAGCACAGCAGCTGGGAACGAGCGGAAAAAAAGCTGGTGAGAAAGGTGCGACAATCGTAAAAGGCTTTACTGTAATTACCAGCTTTTCCACATCATTTACGGAATTAAGTTAATGGTGTAAGTTCGACATGCTTGAAATGGGTGATAACAAAAGAAAAAGGGGAATGTGACGGAAAGTGAAGGAGGGACAGGCAAAGAAGGAACTGTTAGAAAAAGTGAAAATCATGAATTGAAAGTAACTCAACTAAATGAGTAGGTGGTGACAAATTTGTCAGTACAGCAAACCAAAAGGATTACACAACTATGAACCCACAATAAAAACAAAGATGTGTCAAACTTATTTTCACCATTTCATGGAAACAGAAATGTAATGTAGAGAGAACTGTAATATGGTGTAATGCCACTAAACTGAATCTTCTTAAAACGTTTCACAGTGGAATGGAATTTATATCTAATCAGTGGATAAGAAAAATTATTTTTGCCCACAACCAAAGCAGGGTTCCTCAGGGTCCAGTTTTCTGTGTATTATTTATTTCTCCTATAACAACCAGGAAATATTAAGAATTGGCATTACAGTATATGAAATAACTTACCAAAATCAGTTACTCTGATTCAACATATCGAAATAAGCAATTTCAGGAAAAACCTATTTGTTTTTTCATTGCGTATGGCAACTAAAATATCTGAATTCACAAAAATCCTAGCAAACAACCAAAAAAAAATTCCAAACTGTACAAAGTTGGTAGAAAAAAGTATTTTCACATTGTTCTTTAGACAGAGAGATGTGTCCTGGTTTATTATCTGAGATTAAGTATTTGGGCAAGTCAGAATTGGTCCAAACCGATGATAAAATAAATCATTTTGCATTAGCACAGGGCAGAAAAACAAAACAGTAACAGTACCATTGTATGCTAAAAGCTTATGTGACAGGCAACACAAAGGATTAGATAACAATATTTGCCTTTTTAAGTCAATTTCCACTGTTTTAGGAAGCCTTCTTGCTCAAGACCCAACAGCTATCTGCTTCACTGGATTGGTTTTCAGGCTGCAAACATTTATGTAAACTTCTGTTCTTTTGGTGCTGCTGTTCAACATCAACTTTGGACTGCCACTGGGTCACTCGCTGGCTCACCGCAGCGCCCTCAGTCTGTGTGAGTGTGTGTGTGTCTGAATCTAGCAAACCAGATGGAGATATTGGCAGCACAACGTGAAACTTTGCTAAGAGTAAAGCAACTGCCAGTTGACACATGCCAAGTCCTACATTACCCGAGCACATTACCCCATACACACAGCAACTAACACCCAAAAAGGTGCCTGTTGCATGGATGACGAGGGAATGAACAAATCAGAGGGGTTTACTTTTGTTTCTTTCGTTTTTCTTATCACAAAGAATTTCTTTCTTATATATAGATTTGGAAGAGACAACAATAAGGCTAAGAAAACTTGTTTGATCTTAAGTTAGCAGAGGTGGGAAATAAGAGTGGGGGGCTGCAACATGATATGAACAATGAAATGTAAACAACTGGTATAAATAACTGACTGCATACACTTGCATGGATAGGCACACACAAATGCAGATACACTGAAGTTCCACTTCCGAAAGCAGGCAAAACATTTCAAAGTGCCATTGTTTAATTCTTTGAATGCATCCTGGCTTTTCCTGCCAGTGGAATGAAACAACACTACGGGACGAGGAGCTGCTGTTGCGTCTGACATCCAGGGCTTCAAACCCCGCTTCTGGCTTTGAGTGTTTAACCGTACAATGATGCAGCAGCCATCTTACTCAGGGCCTAGTGATTCCCAAGCTTAAACTAATGATCCTAATCTCCTTTCTCTAATTCCATCAAAGCTTATGGAATTACATAGTTATCTCAAATAATGCTAAAGTAC